TGTAAAACGACGTAATGCAAAAAAGAAAAATAACACAATGAGCGTAAGGATTTTTATCATGTCACTAAGACTAGACGATAAAAAAATCTATATGAATAAATAAATACAAAAGTGGATTTGATTTCCTTCCGTCAAATTCTCTGTATCTAATTTATTATTTCTTGGCATAATCTATACTAATACATAAAGCTGAAGAGTTTGTTTCAACGCGCTAATCTCAGGAACTATGGATTCGAATTGAAAAATTATTTTTGTGTTAGAATATTTATCAAGAAAGGCTATAGGCTATAAAACACCGCTCTGTGACTTATAGAAGCGAAGATGCAGCGAGAAATGTAATAAAAAAAGGGAAAACTATATTTTGATGTGTCAACGACTTTTCATCAGTTATCAGTTGACATGTATGTCAAAATTGAGACTGAACGAACCAACGACAGCTATAATAATTAGGGAAATACATTAAAATTAATTTATACAAAACTTTCAGTATTGAATTAGGCAGAACAAAGTCTGGCGGGGCAGCTAGTATTATATAAATAAACGTTGAGTTTAAATTATGTAATCGAAGCCGCAGACGGAAAGCTAGTTTTTTTATTCAATAATTTTAGTTTCTAAACCTTATTACACACATTTGGCCGTTCTGTGTTAAGTTAAAAACTGAATATGCTATATTTTATTTAGAAATAACAAAGCTTTTATCGTTGCACGGGTTTTAAACCATTAAAACCAATAGCTAATATCATCTGAAACGTAGGGGCGTAATTAAAAATAAGTTAAGTTATAAATTTCGCGTAACAAAAAGGCTCTGGCTAACAAACAGGCAATACTAATGCTAATTCTACAAACATACATGGAGGCTGCTAGAGGCAGAGTGACCTAATAACAAAAACATGATTTTCAATAGGGAGGGAAATAAAAATACGCAATTAACGTAGGAAAAAGTTAATGAAATGTTGAGTAATCAAATTTTAATAAACAAAAAAAACACTTTAACGGTTAAAAACGCGATAAACATATATCGCGTTTTTTTAGTTATAAGCAATGAATAACTATTTTTATTTGGAGTGTACTACTCGCGTACTCTACAGACAGTATTTGCATCCACGTTAATAAAATTGGATTGAAATTATTTGCAGTTGCACTGTTGTAATATAAAACGTTACGCGCGTATTATAGCACAGTCATTCTGTTATACATATATGCAAATATGAACACTTTTGCCCACTTAGCATTCTAATGTGCATATTTTATAACACAAGGTTCGTAATAAAAACATAGTATTATATTATTTAACTAGCAGACCCGGCCACGCGTTGCTGTGGCTGAAGTTATTGTTTTATTACATTGTGGTATACAATTTAAGAGGAACAATAGGAGAACATCGGTCACGGGGGCCATCATGCTTTTTACATAGATGGATAGCAGTGCCATCTATTGAATTGTAGCTTATATGACACGTTTGTCGGTTTGTCATAGCAGTGCCATCCATTGATTATTAACACAATCAGACGGACCAGAATGCTCACGGTGTGGCAATTTAATTTAAAATCGGTTCAGTAGTTTAGGAGTCCATAGCGGACAAACATCGTGACAGGAGATTTATATATATATATATAAAGATTTAAACGCGCGCTTCTTCCACCTTTTTATTGGTATTACTAGTGTTTCTTTAGGTAACAATTTATTATGAGTAATTTTTTTATTTTTACATTATCATTTTATTTCACACTATTAAACCGGTAAAGAAACCGTCTATCGGCATCGGTTTAAATATATACTTGTAAGTTTGTGTATATGACTTGTAAGATTGGCTCGGTACGGAGTAAAGGAGTGACGGCGAATTTATTGCCAGTTCTTCTCTTGCTTTGATAACTGGTACGCCCTTGATTTGATAACTGGTAGTAAATGTAAAGTTAGATTCTTTAGTTTTGTGACATCTATAAGTGTACACATACATAGTTATCTACATGAATAAATGATTTTTGACTTTGACTTTGGTAGCTATATAGTGTTTACAGTTGGGTACCTAATAAATATTTTTATCTTACTAGTTTTTTGTAAGATATGATAATTCCAGCAGAATATGGGTCAACTAAAAAGCGAGCAGCTATGTAGAAAGAAAGTAAGTAAGAAAAAAACAATCAAATTTAAATTGTATTGTTTTTTTTGCTAAGGACGGTCTATGGTCCCAATCCTTTTAAAAAACAGATTATTTGGTTATGAACTTAAGGGAACAACACTTTGATTATAATATCAGTATTGATTAAAAATCGGTCCAAAACGGTAACAAAGACCATAGTCGATTTTTCGGTATCAAAAATAGAAAGGCATACAAAGTTGGTCATGGCCTTGAGCAAGACCCAGTTGAGCTGAATTGCATAAGAAAATGAATAAATAAAATGAAGAAAGCCTATTCGGTTTCGAAAATGCATAACACCTACTTTGTTTCATGTGAACTGTGAAATTCTACACTGGGATAGTGAATAAAAGAAACTATTTAATATACTGTAGGCTATAATAAACTCAGACTATTATTGATCAACTAATTAAAACTTAAACACTGTCTGTAGTTTACGCAAGTAGTACACATTTAAACAAAACACATTAACGGTTTAAATCGCATATATATAATATGACTAAAATTCGTTATTTATTACTTATAACTAACATATATCGCGTTTCAAACTGTTAATATGTTTTACTTAAACATTTATAACTTGATTTCTCAATAAAGATTATATTTAAAAGCTGTTCTTTAGTAATTTAAATGAAATCCAATAAGCAACCTTGACCTAACTCTAAACTATAAAAACGCACCCGTGTCATTTCTAAGTGATACTCGGAAATAATAATTTACTTATGTATACTTTTCCAGACTCGAACGAACGCCCAAGCAAACTTATTTCAGTAAATAAGAATAGAATTGCACAAAAACTGGACTAAAGAGCGAGCTGTGAAAACAAGACACGATGGAGCAATATTCGACCATGGTAATGGTGGCTTTGTCTCTGGTTACCACAGGTACGCGACCATTTATATTTTGCACGTGTATGCTAAAGATTTTCTTATTTTTTTTTAATTTGCAACTGCCTTTTTGGTCTAGAGATGACGGGCTCACCCGACAACAACCAACCCGCACTTAATTTAGGGCATCATGCTAATTATTTTTGCAAACAATCTCTGCAGATTTAAAATATTAGTGTAGATTAATTTTTCTATGAAAACCTGGTGTTGTTTTTTTATCAATTGCAAACGCAACTTATACTTAGTAGATTAGATGTTGAATTAATATTTGAGAAAGATTAAGAAGCTCGATGTCATGGTAGGACCCCAAAAGGTACCTCCATTCTTAAAGACTTTCCATATGCTAAAACTACAGTACGTTCCCTACGCAGGTTTTGGGACGAAGTTATTATACCTTCGTTTAACTGGTCGATTTTAGCAAGCAATCAAGCTGTTTTGGTAAAACTAATGTATTTTCCTGAGTCCAAAAAACAGCTACGGAGACGAACAAGACCATTGATCATTTCTTTTAGTGTACTGGTAATCATTGCATTGATTTAAGTAATGTGAACCGTGAACTCTGCCTAAAAACATGTTGCGTTGACAATTACTGAGTGGCTAAACAATACGTCCATGAATCACTCAACGGCAGCGCGATGAAGCATAATGTTCTTGAATAAAAGGCAACTCAGTAATCATATTTTTTAATTAAAATTATTAATGGTTACAAAACAATAACCCGATTTATGGTCTGGTATCAGTGATTATAAAGAAATACTTTAAATATTTTGTTTTGTACAAACATAGTATTATCTGTCGTTGTTGTTACAAAAAGCTCGTTAGGAAAATAAAATCTTACAATTACCAGTAACAAACTGTATGGTAATTACATCTTATTATTGTATGAAGGTTAATAGTAAATAATTATAGACGACGAAATTGTGTCAAGACTACGACAGAACGCTGTTGGAGAAAAGAGTCGACTTCGTCTAATTCATTGAGTTTATTATGGTGTATCTTAGAAGTGATTTACTTTTTACTATCTAGTAATGTTAAAGAGTAGATTTTAGACTCTTGAATAGTTAGCCGATCCGATACTTAGTAGACAAAGTAGTAGTAGACGTAGGCAGACGACAAACATTTTCCAAAAAATTACTGTACATACATACTGGACCTGGTGGGGATCGAATGCATGACTCGTTGATTATTATTAGTCATACGACCAACGATCCCATCAGGTTTTTCGATACTAATATCAGACAAGAAGAAGAACAAGATTCATAATAAAGACATTAAAGATCTTACCATTACGGTATGGTAAATAACGTATGAATCATTCGTGATAACATGGTACGACACAACATCAAATATATCATTCAATACAACGACGCTTCAAATAATATAATGATGCATCAATATGAGTCACTTACTTGGCAAATAAAAATAAGGTAATGCGTAGGAAATGTGCTTGTGATTAAGATAAAGCTCATATTAAACAAAGAGAAACATTTTCAGGTTTTATAAAAATATTTTATAGAATAGTTGTTTTGGGCGTCCAAATTTGCTTTTACAAACCTCTACACCTTTATAAAATAAAGCTGCCAACGACATCGGTCGCGTCCCGTCATTCTTGCAAGTTAATCTCAAAAGATACACATATAGTGTAGCAGATTTTTTTTAGATCATTTAAAGAATATGTATGAAATTTTTTGGGTGCCTTGAACCGTTTCCTCAGCGTACGCATCTTAAACCGACAGAGATGAAAATTACCTCGTTTTGTTTCACATTTCCCGCTGAATCTTCGCTTCTATTAGTCATGGCGCCTTCCTCGATAAATGCTCGAACCAAAACAAAAATAATTTTTCACTTCGAACCCGTAGTTCGTGAGATTAGCGCGTTCAAACAAACTCTTCAGCTTTATATATTAGTAAAGATAGATATAAAAGATAACTAATAATAATGTAACAATGTCAAACCATACTTGATGTATCTCACAATTAATTAGATTGCCGTACAACACCACTAAATAAGTCATATAGTATCAAAGAGAACAGTGCAATTGGAGCAGCTACAGCCACAGATCTGTACCCGGGCGTAGGATCTCTAAAATCGTAACAAAGGTTATTGTATCTTCTCCCTCTTTCTACACAGAGCGAGCCAGGTTCTCCAGAAATATATATAGAATCGTTCGTATCGCAGCGAGCTTCGCTTTCATCTATAAAGGTGTACTTCGTTACCAGACGAGCAATCATTCCTTTGGTCCCGTTTCTTCGACCGTGAATAAACTCTCGTACCCAGCCCTCCTTATATATTTTATTCAAACTCTGTACACCCCATATAGTATTTGCGGTATCAGATATTTTGAAATAACTTAGAATACTACTGTTATAAATTCTTTCAACCGTATCTCTATCAGAAGGTTGGATATCATTCCAAAATGTCGCTAAAGATGACACGAAGTTTTCCTTGAGAGAACGATTTTCCGCATATGTATTATATTTGTGGGCTATTACGCCACAAAACAATTTGGTATCTAAAAAGTACGGGGCCCCGGGTGCAAAGTTGCACACAACTCTTATATCGCCATTGCTTCTTTTACCATAGGCGCATCCGATTTTCATTGTCTTCGCCCAGAGTAGTTGAACGGCATTGAAATTATTCACAGAAGTGCGACCACATTGTACATCAGCCGGTTGTATATTTTTACCACCACTCCAAAACCACACGTGAATACATCCTATTATTGGCGAAATAAAACATTCTGTCTTCGGTGTGCTGTCAATCAAAACAGTTCAGATTAGAAACTACTCGTAGTGTGTTGTCTTTGAGAATAAATGTAAAAAAAAATATTCTCAAAAGGCGTACCATATATAAGAAGATCCCGGTGACTTTACACAACAGAAATCAGCATATTTGGTACATTCAAGGTGTGAAACGCTATTCCCTTCCAGAGCTGAACAAGGTGCTGGTCCTGGCAAACATTGACGTAACCAAGCTTCCGAGACCTTTTGCAAATCATAGTCATAATTGATCTCTTTCATATTCGCTGCTGAAGGCAAATGGTAATATCGATCGGATTCCCTACTTGCAACTCGATTGCGCATAGAGTTAATGGTATTAACCAAAGCAATCTGATCTAAAATCGAAGGTACTTCTACCGTATACCCCTTTTCGCAGAGTTTTGAGAGACTGTCATCTGGAAAGAGACATAGAGTGTGATCACCATAGCACGGTAGAACGCCACACCATCGGTTCGTTACAATTTGATCACGCTGTGAGTTCTGGGATTTAAAACTTGTTTCATTATAGTCAGGTTCGACAACATTTCTTAATCGCCCACCAAGTATCAAAAACACTTCCGACTTTTTTTTCCTCTGTCCTAATTCACCATATAACAAAGGAAGCTCCCAACATGGATAATTTTCTGGAACGTACCAAACACTCTCATCGTCTGTGTCATTAGGATACTCCTTGAAAATGTCTCTATCAACTGCCGGTTCTAAATTGTAAAACTGGACCGAATGATCTTTTAACTTAACATGAGCAGTATCGTTAACAGGTGTTTCCTTTTGTATTTGTTTTGAAACATTATCTTGTCGCAATATTTTAGACTCATCATCATCGTAAATATAAACATAATCTTTAAAGAAATTAAATTCTGGTGTTTGGTTTGACAGTGTCTGATGAAAAACTTGTGTTAGTTTATTTCTTGTAGGAATATCTGAATAACTTTCTTTTACGGTGTTGTTTATAGGACTGGATTGTTCGTATTTTATTGTGGTGTAGAAGAATGGTCTTGTATCAGTTTGGTCAGAAATAAAGTTTACAGACTTCACCTCTTTTTCATTGGCTTTGTTCTGTGCAAATCTACGCTCGATTGATTCGGTTACATCGGTGTAATTATTATTCTCGTCTTCGGTCGTTTTGTAATCATCGTAATAATCTACACCAATATTATAGGAATCCGATATAAGTGATGTAAACACGAAAAATAAACTTATAATATGCATTTTATTCGAAACCAAATCCATGGCCAACGTGATCTTTCCTTTTGTACTACGAGTATTTATATATTTTTTATTGTTATCTTTTAATTTAAGCTTCTACAAAAATAGCTTGAATATGCACTTAATAATGCGATTTTACATACGATATATTTATTATTCGGCAACTTAACGAACCTATTTTAAATAACAAATACAAAATATTAAGAGGCCAAATTTGCATTTCAGGTGTGTCCTCACTGAGGTGTTACCAGTGTTCACCTAAACCAGTATCAGGCGAGGATTACGACAGTGCAAAACGCTTGTGCGACCACTTCGATTACTCAGACGACTACATCGTAGAATGTCCGTTCTCCACGATGTGTATGAAGCAGGATTTCTACCTTGAAATACAGAACGAAGGTCGGTATTGTTACGACACGAATCGTTAATTAAAGTAAATAATAAAACGTCTTTAATTTTTAATGTCCCACGGATTATAAAAGGTGATTAAAAAAGGAGATTTGCAAAGAGTTTTTTAAAATTACAATTATGTAATAGGTATATACTTACTACTGGCTTAAATTCCTATGGGAACTTAAGCAAGGGCACTTTAACAAATATAACAGGTCAGCATTACATAGGATGTTTGTTCACCCTCTTGCATTCAGTATCGTATTTAGTTGGCACCATGAAACTTAGGGAGGCGAGACTGAAGCCAAACAAACATGCAACGTGATGTTTACTGAGACTAAACATATTCACATGACGCTTGACCTAGTCACTTTGCCAAGCTTCTAAGCCCTCACAAACCTAGCCTTTGGATAATAAAGATGACCCCACTGGCTTCACCGATAGAAGTACTATTTCAAAACTAAGTTCTAATCATATGATAATTGTATAATTACAGTAAAAGTCAACGTTGTTCTCCGCGACTGTGCGCAACAGAAACACGAGTACCAAGATTACAAGAACGGCTTATGGTCACCAAAGACTGAAGTAGTGGAAGCCTATGAAGAAGGCTGCTTTAGTCCTGATGCTAAAGGATTGAAATCTGTTGTAAATAGGTACGTAATATTGAAAATGAAATAGCTGAAGTCGAAGATGCGTTGTCGGCTTTGGAAATCCACAGTCTGAAACCGAAATGCAGTCAAACTTCACGGCTCTTTCATCTGTGGGCGGTGGTTCGTGATAGTCAATATCCAAATTGCCAGACGAAGTCCAACATGTTTAAGAAATTTTGAATTCATTAGAAATAGGTTGGAGCCGGTGGAGATCGAACCCACGACCCGTCGATTATTTGCCATATATCGCTACCATTAGATGATTAGACCAACGAGCCTGATAATCACTTCAACCTAATAGGAATAAAGATATCTTAGTTTAAAAAAGTTAGTGTTTTATTTAAATGTGTACTACTTGCCGCAGCTACAAACAGTATTTAAGGATATAGTTGCCTTGAATTGATTTCTTTTTGTGCGTCCTGAACTTGGCAGGCTAAGCAATTTCTGCCACCACCATCATTCTAAAGGTTATTACCCTTTACAGATTTTGCTACTGTCGTGACAACCTCTGCAACTCAACTCAAACGAACCACGAGGGCTACACTGACATCATGGGAGTGATCGTAGTGTTTAACCTGATGAAGTACATAAACAGCCTTAGGTAGTAACTTTTGTGGGATGGACTACATTACTGTTAAAACTTGTGCCAAAAGGGAAGGACAGTTTAACTACCTCAAAGAGTGATTCCTCCCGCTACAGTCAGATTACAAGGAGTAAAGTGATATTTAGAATTACTTGTGTGGCCTATTAATAAACGTAAATTTATTATAAGACTCTTTTTTCCTATCTTAATAAAAAAAAAAGTTTTGAAAAATATAACACCTTTGAAAGACTAACTTTTCTATCAAAGAATATAGTTCAGAACCAATATAAATATGTTATAATAATTAAGTAAATACTGTCTATAGTTTACGCGAGTACCTTTTGCATTTTTATATTATAGAAGATTTCTTTGATTCTATTGTTACCATCACATGTAAACACATACAGAACACACATGTAACTACCTTACTTTAAATTTTGGTAAATTCAATTAGAATAAAGGAGAAATGGAAAGTATACTAAATATATACTGAGTCTAGTATTAAAATGCGAAAATGTTGATTCACCTCCTTTAGATCTATACAAAATTTTTGTAATAGGAATTGCTGTAATTGGTTAAATTTTATATTTGTTACCTATGTACAATTTCGGCAATCCCTAATTTGATGCGATCGAAATAACTAGGTTACTACAGTTTTCTTGGCTAACGTTTCGAATGTTATTTTTATATATGAGACTTTGTAGACCTAAGATCTAATCTACAGTCTAGGTCATGAAATCCTACGCATATTAAGCATTGTCTGTAGTTTACGTCAGTAGTGCTTATTTTAATTAAACGCTCCTAACGGTTTCAAAACGCGAAATATATTAGTTAACTTATTGTTAATCATAATTTTAACTACAGCTCGACGTTTCCGATCCCTAGCAGCTGCCTTCGTTAGGGGGGACACTAGGCATATTGTGAAGGTTTTAGGTGTGATAATAGTAAAATATTATGAGAATTAAATAATTCACATAATATTTTTTCACAACAGTATAGGATGCCAAATTAAGTTAAACATGTAGCTAAGCATAATATTCTCCCTTAATAATTACTAATTCCCCCCTAATTAATCACTAACATTCTCTTTTTTACAGCGCACAAGCAAATAAGTGCGACAAACGCATAGACGCAATTGCCTAAAATTAATAGTAAGGCGTAACGCGTAATATTCGTTAAAGTTAATTGCTAAGCCAATAATATTAATTAAAAAAATGGACTAAATGAAGACGCCACGCAATTACTGAATGCATGAACTATAATAAAAATGAAGAGTTTGTTTGTTTTAACGCGCTAATCTCAGGAACTACTGGTTCGAATTAGTTTTTTTTTGTGTTGAGCATTTATCGAGGAAGGCTGTAGGATATAAAACATCACACTGCGAACAATAGGAGCGAATAAACAGCGGAAAATGTGGAAAAAACGAAAAAAAAAAAACAATAATCTTTGTTGGTTACCTAAAAAATATGTATGAATGAATGAATTCTCTAAACGAACGAACAATGTTCGCGACAGTATATCTTTTTAAAGATTAACTAACACGAACGACGAGACGCGACCGACGTCGTCGGTAACAGCTATAAAGATAAAAGGATATAAAGGTGTAGAGGTTAAATATTGACTATAGTTTACGCGAGTAGTACACATTTAAATAGAACATAGACGGACTCTCTGTCTGGAGTCTCCCCGTGACCACGGCTGCTGCAAAGCATCCGATACGTCGGGCCGAAGTTAAAAATCATTTTCAAATAAGTTTAACTAATACATCGCGTTTTGAACCGGTAGAGTGTTTTATTTAAATGTAGAGGTTTGCAAAATTAAAATTATAATGACCAAAATAACTTTTCTACGCGAACGAAATTGTTGCGAAAAAAAATTAATACAGTTAGTATTTAATATTCTGAAAGCAGATGACGTAATAATTAAATTCAGGCTTTACGTGCTAGGTTTGCGACGGCAGAGGCTCGGCGGTAACCTCATTCCAATGTGTTTGGTAACAATGACATCACTAAGAAATAAAATTTAGTTTGTGAAATTTGAATAGTGTGTATGACTGAGGATTTTACTAAGAATTTCACGTTAACTTAGTTCTTCCACAGCTATAGATAAGACGTAGTATCGAAATAATATTATGAAAGTATAATTGAATTTATTAACTTTAACGGTTTAAAACGCGATATATATTAGCTAAACAGAGAGACTGTCTCCCCGCGACCAAGTCTGCTGCAAAGCATCCGAAACGTGGGGCCGTAATTAAAATAACTTTAACTAATATTTATCGCATTTAAACCCGTCAAATTGTTTTATTCAAATGTGTACTACTCGCGTAAACTACAGGCAGTATGTAATTTATTCAGGGTCGTGCTAAAGTTAAAATATAATCTTAGGGCTGTAAATAGTGAAGTAATTTTTAGCTTAAAAATATTTTTTTACGGTTGAAAAACTAGCTCAAAAAAGGGAAGCACTAGTACAAACTTAATTTAAGCACGAAAAACAAGTTTAGATAATAGTTATAAATAAAATCTAATAAAAATAAATAGGACATTAAAACAAGGACATAAGTAAGGTCGAGAAACAGGTTTTTTAGTATCAATTTGTGCGTCTTTTAACAGAACGTTGGTTCCTTTTACGATATGTGGTTATTAAACCACATTGATATCGTAACCTCCAAAGGTCATTGTCTTGCAGGATACGGTGGATGATGCGTCACAGGGAATTACCATTATTATTCGTTACACATGTTTTTACACAAAGTAAAATTGAATACTAAAAAAAACTAATACAAAAACACTGTCAGGACTCAAACCCGGGACAATAGCGTTTCGTGATTTGCCCTTATTCTTTTTCATATATGATGTTTGAGATTTTCTAAAAAACATTTTACATGACATATGAAATATCTTTTTTAACACAATTAAAAATGATAAAACTACGATTACTTTAGACCCAATCTAAAAGGTTTGAGTAGTCAAGATAATTTAAGGCACTATCCAAGAACAAGTCGTAACTAATATCGTATTGAAAAATGATAAGATTAGGTTTTAAGTTACTGTCCTTGTTTATAATGTTAACAACAATATCAACGTTACTGATAAACGTGCTTCAATTAGTATATTTATATAAAAACCAATATGTGCTACATACGTCATGAAACATGGATGTGATAAAAAACACCAGATTGCCAGATCATTTCGATTCAAACTGAAAGGATGTAGCGGCTGATATCAGTGGGACTGTTTCACAATTCACTCGTGTATTGCAAAATGCCTCATTCAACGAAACATATACATACTAGTAATATGTATTTATTTATTTATGTATAATTTCTTTTACTGGATTCGTTCAAAGCAAAAAAAATTGCTATACACGATCCAAAAGAATATCAATATTCGATAACAGTTTCTTGGTTCGTTGGTCGGCTAATAGACGGGTCGAGGATTCTAACCTCACCATGACGGTACAATTTTTCTGAAACATGGGACTTCGTCTGGAAATCTGGGAATATCGCAATTCCGTCCAGGTCTCAGATAACCACAGTGAAAAAGCCTTATTTATCGGATACTTATATATAACAAAAAATAAGTTAAGCAATATTTTTGCAATTAAAATCGTAAAGAGCGTTTAATTAAATAGGTATTCGTGTACACTTCAGTAAATATTTATGAGAAAGTACTACTACAACTGCAGTTAATTTCGCGTATTTACATTATTGTGAGACATGAGGATGGAGTAAAAATAAGAGCTCTATTATTGGAACGGAACGAAAATTCCGATACACTTGCCAGAAGGCAATATATATTTTTCTAGTGCGAAACTCATATAACACCGCATTGGGCTAGATTTAAATAAGCCATACAAGTTGTAACATCTTATATTAAAATATATTTCAAAATTTATAGGACACGGGCAGGACTTGAACGGGTATTTACATCAAACCGTGCTGTTGCTCTAACCAATTTTTCAATCTAAAGTCGACTTTATCAATAAATTAAAAAATATTGTTACGTCATTTAATCTCGATCCAACAAGTGTAGTATGCGACTAGATAAATGTCCTTTATCTATCGCGTGTGACGTATGGCGATATAAAACATAATAATGCCACGATCTCCGAGCAGCACGAAAAAATTGGGACCGAAAGTCAGCCAGTAATGCGCCGGCGCCAGCATCGATCGCATGAATCACTGTGACGCTCGAATTTAGAATTCCGATTCTTTGATATTCCGAGTTCGGAACCCGCAACTGGTAGGTTTCCTTCCTGTGAATCATTCGTTCAGTGGTGGCGCGAACCACATGTGGGCATATGGTTCGCGCGCGCGACCGCGGACGCCGGTGTGAAACCTCTAAGTACAAAAATGCTAAAGCAAGTTTGTATACGCAATTAGCGGGAAGAGTTTTTCGACAAGTGCGCGTTTGATATACAATGGAGCTGAAGTTATGTTATGTTGTGTTTACGTTTTTTTGGAGAAGTAAGTTCAACTATCCATAATTATAATGTATATACCTTTCTACAGTTAATCAGATTATTATTTGTTTATGGTAAAATTAAAAAAACCTGTATATTGTAATATTATCCACAAAATAAATAATATTGATGATTGAACTTTACAAAAATCTAATTAAACCAATTTTTTTAAGTAGGCGGACTTCAAATATCGTTAACGGATTAACGGAGACGGGCAATCGTAAATTCACAATTTGTATTCAATTCAAATTTTGGAGTAGTAAGAATATGGAGACAATGATAAAACTGTGGCATTACTCACATCATGTATCGAATAATAAATTCAATAGTCATTATTGAATATTCATCACAATGTTTCCCAAACATACATAGCCCTAACCAAAATACGACCAATTGTTTATAAGACAAATGTAACCTCAGGTAACCATGAATTTAAAAACATCATTTACCGTACAGAAAAGATAAATTAAAAATACATCTATAGTTTACGCGAGTAGTACACATTTAAATAAAACACTTTAACGGTTTAAAACCCGATATATTAGTTAACGAAGTTATTAATAACATCGGGCCGAATTTAAAAATCATTTTCAAATAAGTTTACTAATATATCGTGTTTTAAATCGTTAAAGTGTTTCATTTAAATAAAAATACATCGTTTGTTTATCTCGCCAAACTATTGTCAGACTTCTATATAAAAAAGTACGCTTCGCAGTACTTTAGAACATAAAGGAAGCGGTAAAAAAAAACTATATACATTTATAGATTTAAACACTCTTTGTTGTTTACGCGAGTAGTTTCATTAAAACACTGCAATGGTTCACAACGCGAAATATATTACTTCACCTTATTTCCAATTTATTTTGTCAATGGCCCGACGTTTCGGAATCTTTGCAGCAGCCGTCTCCTAATGACCATGGCCACCACGGTATATATTTACCATTTTAAAACGTCAAAGTGTTTTAATTAAATTTATAGATGTTATCCTATACCTCGCCAGACTTTTACAGTTGATATTGAACTATATAGACATAGAACATGCTCTTAGTGTGTGTAAGTAACGAACATACATCCATCGCAAACGCGGTCCGTTTTCACCGACACTTATATTTAATCATAATATTAGTACTTAGTTTTCAACAACCATATGGTGCAAAATACATACCCGATAAGTACAGTTTTATAAAAAATATCCAGTCTTCTTAAGGTACGGAAAATAATTACATTATCCGGTTATCGAACCGCCTACTCGATTCAATCGTGGCATATATTAATCGTTCTTAGAATGCAAAGTATAAACAATTTAACATCTGTTTAGAGTTTACTGTTCGCCTCCGTGACTCTATGATTACGCATTTCCTAGCATTATGTTAAGCAGAAGAGGTACAGGGTTCGAAACGTGAGGAGAACAATAGTAAAATAATTATGAAGAAAAATATAACTGATATAATTTAAAAATCGAAAATAAATTGAAAAAATTTTCGACTCGCGCAGGACTTGAACCGGCATCGTCAGCGTTCCGTGCTGTTGCTCTACCAATTGAGCTACCGAGTCCTACACATAGGACATAGTCATACATAGTCCAGTCAGTACAATAATTAAGATTTAAAATCGTAAAGGAATAGTAAGCTGCATAGTATTAAAAACGAAGTCAAATCAATAATAAATATTTATACGTTTCCTGTTTAGCACACTCTTCGGATATAATCAAACAATGGAATTTAAATTTCCTGTTTTGCTAGCAGGCATTGTTTATTATATAATTGTTTATTATAATATATGCTAAATCATGAAACACCGAACGGGTAATATAAATGCATTTTACAGCTGAATTCATCCAAATATTACGACTCATTCCCAGAAGTAACACTAAAGACATTATTATATCTAAATACAAGTTGTTTCAGCGACTTCGTCCGCGTAGAATAGTAATTTTGGGCATCCAAATTAGTCTTTGCAAACCTTCTTTTTTATCTTTATAAATGTAACCTTTTATTAGATTACATTTCCCCGTTGTGTTTCTTCGTCCCTATTAGTCACAGCGCAATGTTCTAACCAACACAAACATATTTTTTCAATTCGAACCAGTAATTTCTGAGATTAGCGCGTTCAAACAAACTCTTCAGCTTTATGACTTTAAGGTTTAGTTTTTGTTAGTGACTTTCCATGGATCAATTACTTAATAGAATTATTAATTGTAAGTGATAGCATGGTTATAGCTAATCACAATAAAATGTTAATTCTATCGTGGAACAATATTGCTTAGTGTCATTGCCAGGCAAATAAACACTCAGCAAAGATAAGAATAATAAAAGCGGACTAAAATTGCGATATATTTTTCAATTTCAACGTTTAATTGTATAATGACGTATCTTGTAATATGAATCTTACGAAGCTTTAGATTTCATAAAAACAGGATTCGACGCGCAATAATTTCGCATATACTCCGAAACAGGACTATATGCGAAATTATATGTAATAAGGTTAAACATTTCTTCTTTATTTATGTAAGCTATCACGTGCATCAACACTTCAAATGAGCAATGATTATAATATTTTTTAACAATTACATTGAAGTTAGAAAACCAAACTATTAAAATTAATATAATAACCGTTATACGAGTTACTAATTGTATTATATAAAATATGTTTTTATTTATATGAATAAATAGCAATTATTTTCACAAATAGACATACATATTATGCCAATTAGAATATAAATATTTTAGCATTATAAAAAACAATAAATGCGTTTGAGTTGAATTTGACTTTGAGAGTAAGAAGTTAATTATTTTTGTTAAATTAATTTTCAGTATCTTCTGCAATCAAATGTTACAAATGCGTACCGGAGGAGACTTACGAAGGAATAAAACTATGTGAAGCTTTCGACGGCAGTGATAGATTCCTCGGAGAATGCGAACATTCCAACATGTGCTTTAAAAGGGAAACGACATTAGATTTAGGAAATGGAGGTAAGTTTTTTAATCATACATATCTCGTTATAATCCGTTCAAGTTTCTCTATGTATTTATTGTCTGTAGCTCGCGCGAGAACAATTTCAATAGAAAACTTTTAACGGGTCTAAATGAAGTAAATCGTAGAGCCGCAGTAAAGCGACGTTCAAATGCGTTAAAATAGCAGGTTAAAATTCCAATTGAATTTTTAACAAATAACTATTTTCCGCGTTTTAATCCGATTAATGAATAATATTTGTTTAGAATTAGTCACCATTTTTAAATGTGGAACTTGATATTTTCATATATTATGCGAAGCCATTGCTAACTAAATGTTTCAAACGTCGTTTCATAACATATTAAGCCATATACGAATTTGTGTCAACACGCGCGGTTCATACCTTCTTGGTCTCTGTATCCTTATAAAGAAAATAGAACTTATGTGTCTAATGCTTAAATAAATAAACAACTGAATAAACATATATTTGGTTATGATTATTAACAAGAACAAAGGAAGAACGGTTTTAAAGACACAAGAAATACATACTTTAATAAATTAGAAATGAACAAGTAAGCGGTTTTACCTTATAGATGGATATGTTAATCAGCCGGGAATATGACATCTTTTAATATACATATATATATATTGTCCCAATACGTTTCTTGACACATTAGACATTTGAAAGACGATTATAATAAAATTTGGGTCATGTTAGAGCAAAATCCCTCTACACACAGAAACTTCATATTTGGAATAACAGCAAAACGTTTACTTACCAACTTATTACCATTTACTATTTCAAGAATGCCCATTAACTACAGATACTGGTACAACATTAACGGCTCCTTGAATGGTCAATTAGCATATTTCAACTGATAATAATGGCGGCACCAGCACTTGAGAATATCTGTTACGAATTACGCTGAATGATGTATTAAGTTTCTCCCACATGTGGTTATATCTTCCGATTCCAGGAGCTGAGCCGTTAAGAAAGTGGGTCAATACTTGTCATCGGCTTGCAAATTACGCGTTTATAGATTACAGTTTGACATTTTAATGAGCGCAGTGTGATCTGCTACTAGCCAGCCCATAATAAATAAAACACTTTAACGGTTTAAAACGAGACTCTCCCTGTCCCTCCTGTCTCCCCGTGACCACGACTGCTGCAAAGCATCCGAAATGTCCGGTCGAAGTTAAAAATCATTTTCAAATAAGTTTAACTAATATATCGCATTTTAAACCGTTAAAGTGTTTTATTTAAATGTGTACTACTCGCGTAAACTATAGACAGTATTCAGCTCATAATATTTAACAGAAAAACGGACACAGGATTGTGTACTATATAGTGGAAATTGGATCTTACTGATAATTGATTTATCTGATTTAAAAAATAAACATCATAGACGATTCTTTTGAAATAACAGTCTTAACTAATCTTGTAAATGTAAGAATGAATCGAAAATGTATGAATTAAATGAGTTTTTTTTTAATCAAATGAAACCAAATTGAATTAAGTTTTAAGTACCGATATAGCTATTTATACATATTAATTATTATTTAGATTTTATGCTTATAATGTTTATTTAAATAGAAAAGGTTTTTGAAGGAAGTCCCGCAAGTTATACGCGTACCACAAAAGTGTCTCCATTATGTGTTCAAGACACAGGTCGATTACATTTACAGGCCATTTATTAATCACATTTCTGACATTATTTATTGTGATTTTTTCATTTATCATAATCTACAGCTTTTAACCCTTGACTTAAAGATTACATTTTTTTTTACAGTGACAACCGTATCTGTGACCAGAGGTTGCGCTGCTCAAACAATGAGTGGAGACCAGGAAAAAGTAAATGGAAAATGGAGATTGAAGAACACAATTTACGATGTCTACGTTGACGGTTGCACGGAAGACCCGAACAACATCGATAGACCCGCGAAAACTATCAATTGCTACTGCCGCGGAAACCTGTGTAACGGCTCGATAAGAAATCACATAGGTTATGTAATGTTACTAGTCCCAATGGTTTATTTTATAAGCTAGCTATTTCAATAAGTATTCAAACATTGTAGCTACAGACATACACACAAACAGGAGATACTGAGGTTCCAATTGATCGAATTGAGCGGTCTGAATGTCATTAACAAAAAAATGTTTTTATGATAAATAGTGAGTTCCTTCTTTGACATTGCTATCAGAATGGATATTTCTCTAACTTTGATAGAACAATAAGTATATACTTATATCCGCAATATGCATGTGTCTCCTACTAAGTATGTGTTTTTCGAAAATGTACCATTTACTATCAGTTTTGTTTTTTAAAAACAGTTTTTCTTCCTTTAAACGTGTCTTTTATACCTAGTCATATTTTCATCACAAACTACTTTTAAGTCATTGTCACACTGCCATTAAAATATCGAGCTTTAAGCTCACGTATTTCTAGATATGTCATGTTTCTTTTATAATTGTATATGTGCTATCATTCCAAATAATAAATGAATTTAATCATATTTGTTTTGTTTTATTTTTACTACTTAATTGAATTAAAGTAATTACTTTTTTTAAATATAGAATACAAAGTAATGTTTGTCAAAGTATTGTATGAATTACTGAATGTACTTTTGATGTGTGACTTTGATTGTTCTATATCCTCCATTAAATATTTTTACTCATAGTCTTTTAAATCATATATGTACAAGGAGTTTATAATACTGTAACCATAATTTTAAATATAAAAATACCACTTAGTATTAAAAAGTAAATAACAGTTGTACATTGTTTTTGCGGGCATTTTTAATTTACTGGCAGAGTAGTGTATTTTGTTAATACTAGTACTTACATTAGCGTGGTTTTCAACGAGGCAGAGAAACACAACATCTTCGCGAAGCAGTCGCACTGCTCCATGCAAAGGCTGAGGAGTTTTGCTCTTTAGCATCCTGTATAGCAGGGCTGATGACATATGTGCAAAGTCTTCTCCTAAAGGAAACATATATATTTATACAATAAAAGCACTTGTATTTTCAAATATGAACATGAGAATAATTAGATATATGCAAAAGTTATGTATTATGTTTTGTTCACATAAAGCCAATTAAATTTTTAACTGTGTATTTAAAATCATATTTTTCCTTATATGCTTTTTAATGTCCCATATGATAACTAGGATTAACTAAAAACATTTCTGACTCACTAACACTACAGTACATCTTAGAATAAAAAAAATTACATGTGTACACACTAATTAAATAGGCTTGTCCCACATATTGACCATCACATATCGTATTAGTCACATATATCGATAGAATACGGAAATACATATTAGAGATGCGCGGAAAGTATAATAATTGAAACTAATTAGTAGTTTGAGAATTATTTTATAACTTAGTTTAGATTTTTTGTTAAATTTTCATGAATTTGATATGGATGGTAAAAGTAGGTTTCTATTAATAAAAACATAGTTTGTTCCGTGATATACACATACTCTGGGTAGGTTCTATAGGTATGGTGTAGAAGATGAACCAAGAGCTGGTGTAAAATATGTAATGACTCTCTCTTTGTTGTTGCATATAGCATATCAGATCAGAACTTATAGGCACATATTCAGAAATAATTATAATGTACTTTAAGTTTAAAAAGTATTACCTGTGAGATCATCCCAATGCGCTGATATTAGGCCAGAACAGTGTTCTTTGAGGGCCGTGGCACCAATTTCATCAGCAGCAGAATAGAATTTTACACAAGTCCTGAAAGAATATACAAAGTTAATAATCTACTACTTATTTCACTGAACGCAAATCATGCCTAAGTAATTTATATACATAGCTCTACAACTCAATAGTTGAAATAGACGCATGCGGTCTTGGGTTCAGATCCCAGGTAGAATTGCAAATAGTGTCAGTTGGGTGTTTAGGTAGAGCAATCAACTGTTGGTGCATAAATAAATTTAATAGAGGAAACAAAATTTACATTTTAATCATGACAATTAAATTAATATTATAAACTAGTTGCACATTTGTATTACTTGATTCATACATTTGACAATTGTGAAAATCATACAGCAATACTGTCTATAGTTTACGCGAGTAGTACACATTTAAATAAAACACTTTAACGGTTTAAAACGCGATATATTAGTTAAACTTATTTGAAAATGAATGATGATGCAAAGCATCCGAAACGTCGGGCCGAAGTTAAAAATCATTTTCAAATAAGTTTAACTAATATATCGCGTTATAAACCGTTAAAGTGTTTTATTTAAATCATACAGCAATTTTTACTAACTTAAATTATATTTACCTTACACCAACAGAAGCAATTAGCGCTTGTTCACACTTCCCCACCAGACCATGCAATTTAAAATTGGCTGCTGATTTCATTAATTGAAGGGCAAAAGATTCTCCACGAGAGAGATCTACAAGGTCTGTGTAAAGCCATTTTAAAAGTGCTGCACCGACATCATCTGGTAGAGTTGACCAGTCTGTAAAAAACCAGATTAAACATAGGACATGTATATAATGTATCATTACATAATTAACATTATGTACAGGATTTGTATGATTATCTTCAATTCTATTTTAAGTTCAAAACTACAGATAAGGAATAAATTAAGTACACAAATTTAATTGGTAATACAGTACACATACTGCCATAGTTCCATGTAATCAATGAAATACATAAATATATATTCCCTTGGTTGGAGATAGTAGTGTTGGTTGTATTACTTACCAAGTTCTGATAAATTTCTTAATGCCTCTTCGTTCCAATCATCTGAACGAGCATTCAACACAAACTTATGTCCGGGCACAGACTTGCTCTGAAGTTTTATAGAAATATCTGAATATACTTCCTTGCCGTAAAGTGCAGATACAGTCATGAGGAGTCTCGCTACAAAGCTAGTTTCACTTAAGTCACCGGCGGAGGCCGCTGCTAGGGTGTATTTTCTCTCCACTTCCGCACAATGACTTTGCAATTTTCCATATTCCTCTTTCAGCAGCGCGAGATGCTGCTGAAGTTTCGTAACTTCGCTCGATCCTAGACAAAACAAAATATTGCACTTTCAACGCATAACAACGCCCACTATACTGCAGAATTGGAAATAAATATCCACTTACCCATTAGACAAATCTGTATCTACATTCACGTCTTAATGTTCTTATAAGAAAGTCAATATTTCTATATTTTTTAATGTAATCAAAAACTATTTGAAGCTACTAATTAGTTATTATTGAATTGAAACTACAAGAAAAGGATAGGTATTATTGAAGTTGGATTTGTTTTGTCAATTGTCGAAGTTATCCGAGTGACATATATTATGTCAAGCATACGTAAATCATAGATTACAAATGTAATATATTTTGTTATTATTATGCCCTTTATTGATTGATAGTGTTACTTAATATAAAGAATTAACAAAATATAGTTTGTATTAAAGTTTGATTAATTAAAATGTATTTTTCCTGTACAAACAACTCATAATGTTGTTATACACTTATTATAAATGGATAACCTTTTGTAGTTAAGGCCATATTCAGCAGGTGGAGCTTTCTATTTCTTCACAGACTGTAAACTTCAGTATGTACTCAAGTTTGACATTTGTGACGATATCTTTATAATCTTTAGTCTATTTTTACGATAACCTTCAAATGTTTTTATATTTTTATTGAATAGATAACAAGCTATTCATTTGTCGGTACCGTGAAATTTTGTTTTCTTAATAAAATATTAATGTATTAATCTGGTTAATCATGAACACGTTTAATAAAATCACAGCATTAACTGCCGCGGTTCCAAAAAATGCAAGGTATCTGTTTGTTTTTCATTTGAATTTAGAACCTTAATTGTATCAAAACACGTAACTACTGGGAATGTCATTTCAATTATGGGATTGACTTTGCAGTGGCAAACCAGGGACTTTATTGATACTTAATTTTGTTTTAGATTAATCACGACAACAAGTGTCCGGCCAAATGCCGACGATGGATGGCTTTCGAAACTTCTGGTTCGAAAAATCGAACCAACTAAAGAATCCCATAGTCGTATGCTTAGCGATAAAGAGATAGTATACGCACTACATACACATAATATAAGACCCGACTCTGTAGATAAATATTTGAAGAACTAGTAAGTTATGTCTGAGTACAAAGTTTATATAGATCAATTTACAAGCAGAACGATTATGCAATATTCTTAAAATAGATGCTATGCATTCACAGTACTAGCCATAATTAATATCATCTGTACTTGTTTATCTATAAAAAAGAACCTTGACCCTTTACAGATAAAAGCATATTCATGTTATCATTTAAAATATCTTTTTGGTCACTCATATATGAATTGGTAAATTATTTAATGTTTCTTTACCAATACAAATATTCTATTTTATTGTACAATCTAATAAATATCAATATTTTATACATGTCTAACAATCTATAATTTAGCTTTTTTTACTATTGAATAAAAACTATTAATTGTAAATATTTATTGAATAGTGCAACATCCGTTGCTTTTGTGGAGTCAAAGAAGTCTGAGCTTGGATGTGAATTGGTCGGATCATGGACAGTGTCTGTTGGAGATATGGATCAGGCTTTGCACCTGTGGCGGTATGTTGGAGGTTTCGAGAAGATTGATAAGGCCAAAATTATGTTCAGAGAAAATCCTGTAAGTTATTTAAAATTACTATAAACATTTAACTAGATAAATTAATCAATAGGGAAAAAAATAATATTGACATAAAAAAACAATGTATAACATAGTAATTTAATCTTTTAATACAGTTCACATTATCCACACTCCCTAGACTTTGGGATTTGTTTTTATTATATTGCATATATTTATAACGGTTAATCATAATGTTACATTAATTGATTTTTAATATTGTTTGAAATGAAAGGATTATCGGGCGTTAGAGAAGGAGCGCGGCAACTTTGTGCGTTCTCGTCATCTCCAGTATCTACTTGCCTTTAGTTTCTGGCCTTCAGGAGAGCCCCGACAACCAAGCAATATCTACGAAATTAGATCCTACAGGTATTTTCGATAGATTAAATTACATTATTTACAATGAATTAACTCTTAGGTCAGACTTTTTTTAACATCTAATGTTTCCTTCTAGTTTAAAGCCCGGCACAATGATCGAGTGGGGCAATAACTGGGCCCGTGGTCTTACGTACCGTCGGGCTAAGAATGAGGCTTTCGCTGGTTATTTCTCCCAGATAGGAAGACTTTATAACGTACATCACATTTGGTGTAAGTTTCCATTTTGTATGATAGTTAGTTTCGCATTTTTCACGCTAACACACAAGCGTGCGAAAATATGGTTCTCATTAGTAACAAGTTTTTGTCTATTGGACATTTAAATTTGAAAATAATAAAATAGTTAAAAAAATAATAATAAATGGCAAGTAATATTTTAGTAGTTTGAAGAGGCTTGTTGGTCTAAAAACATGTTGGTTTTATTGTATTGTTGAAATTGAGCATTTCATGTGCTGTACTCCTGCAAGTTCCAAAATTACCTCAGAAGTTGTAAAAGGCTTTCTTGGACATATTGCCTAGTCTGTAAAATTAGCGAATAAGGAGATAGAAATATATAAATTTTGTCTGCATGACCACTGTGCACAGATGGAACACCCGTGATAGGTAAATCCGACTCAGTCTGTGAATCCGAATGTCCAAAAAGTACAATATAACTTTAGTACATGTTATAGGGCTGATGTAAAAAACCCTTTTCAACAAGTGAACCTGTATAATTCTGTAATGGAAAGATTTTATAGCCATTAAACAAAAAAGTCAACTGTCCATTCCAATTATAATGTTTATTACTACTTTTAACAGGTTATAAAGACCTCCAAGCACGTCGCGAGACCCGTGAAAGTACGTGGCGAAACCCAGGTTGGGACGAGTGCGTCGCATACACTGTGCCACTAATCCGCGAAATGCACTGTCGTATTCTGGAGCCTACTGAATTTTCGCCTACTAAGTAAACGGTTTCACTTCAAGCAGTACCTTCATTGATCGTTATGACACAGAATACTGTAAAACAGTAGTGCCCTATGTACTATTTCATTTCAAATTTTAGGGGAAAAAATTAACGACTACAAATAATCGCATTGATGGTTTAGTTCATTCTGTGACTTGAAACAAAACATGCCCAGGTCTGTCTAGATGTTTTAACAAGTGGCAGGTACTGTTTGGTATGCCCACTGCACTTTTAATGATGGAAATTAACCGCCTTACTTATAAAATCGTAATGTGCTGATTGCTTTATATGTAATTCTTTTAACTGTATTTATCTTTTATAAGTGAGACAGTTAATAATCGTCAGTGTATTACATCGTCATCTCCTATCACACATACGCACAGTGTCGACATTCATGTTTACTGTTAAAGATTTTATAATCACCTAACGTTATGAAAATCATATATGTTTGGACCTAAAGCTCACACTTATAATCGTATTGACGTTTTGCATTTGACAATATCGTAAAACGTGGTCGATATTAGAACCACAAATATCGTTTACCTAATCTTTACAACTGCCAAACTTGATTTTAACATATAGCAGTATCAACAATGAATTTAACTCCATTATTTAGAATTAGTAGGTACGATAATTCTAGCATTTACAAGCTTGCTAAGAGGTATGTTGTAAACAAAAGTGTACATAGTGAAATGTTATTTTCTGCCAAGATATGAAATGCGTATAGCGTAGCAAAAAACATTTTGTATATTTATGTATTGATAGTAGTGTAGGTTTATTATTTTAAAACGAAATCATTGTTTTTACAAATCGTTTATATCGAGCAGCATTATCATATATTATATGATGCTTATTTACTCGTTGTTTCATTCTGTTTATAAACATTTGAAATAATCAATAAACTATGATTTTCTATTTGACATTTTCCTTATAAAATTCATCTCACTATAGATGATTTTTTACGAATCAAATCAAACAAAAATACGTTTAATCGATATGATATATTCAAAGATATCGCAGATAATAAAATAATTATTATGGTAAAAGGAGTCTTAAAGAAAATAATTATCATAATGTTCATTTCTATTTATTTCAGTTTGATTTTTTCATTAATAAGATTATATTACAATATAGTAATCATTGATAATAATAATTATTAAACCTACAAGTTGATTGTGTTATTTAAATATGTAACAAAAAATAAAAGAAATCAACAACGGTGCTGTGGGCGGACCGCGTTACATCCGTTGATCTCGCTCACACACTGGCCCCGAGCCGCCCGCACCTTGTCGCACCTCATACTTAATATTGCTAACTACCTATCCTTGACGGAGGTCTATACAATGGTAAAATATAAAAATTAGTTACAATGTACATAATACGTGAACGCTAACTACGAGTTTGGTACTTTTAATCATTTGTCGTCCAGACTTAAAACGTGAGACTAATTCTAAAATAGCTGTGGTGGGAGATTGGAACGGGGGATGCGCGTAAGCACTACACTCGCGTCCCCATGTGCGTGATCTGCGTCTAACCTGCTCCGACGCACATGAGGTCAAGGCCACCGCCAGGGGATGAGGAAAGTGAAAAGAATCACTGTAAACATTGAAATACAACTAGTATCTACTCGCTCCCCCCTTGATTATTAGCTGGCGACGACCTCGCATGGAATTAAGCCAAAAGCCTAACTACATATACCGACCAACCATCGCAAGCAACGATACAGCTTGCAAATCAATTCCATTGTGCTTACAACTTGTCAACGACGCTTAGAGTACAGCGGTGGTCAACTCCTGTCGTATACAAACATATTACTATTTGAGCTCCACAGTTTCACATATTCACCAAAAAAAGTTAATCATGAAGATGACACACTGAACATTGCAATTTTCTTCTTTGTAGTTGATTGTGGGAAAAAGACAACTATCTATATACTTGTTCCGGTGAATAAACGATGCAATGTATAAACGCAATAGAGACAGACTTATCTATAAGACTAATTCGAAGACTGGTTGCATTTAATTCTCACTGCATTTCAACTTACAATCTAAAAGGTAATTTGTAAAGATTATTAACAAGTATAAGTTATATCACTCGGCTTTGTTTCGCCAGGTGTAATTTTATACTAATCGATTGCCAAGAGTATCCCAAGTCTTTTTTATTTAATGAATTGTTTCTACTATAGATCACAAGTGCACTCATGTAATAAGGTAATAGCGAATCTGCTATTAAAATGGCAATTTTTTTAAACCAAATACTATGTACTTAGCTCATCAAACCTGGAAGCTTTGGCCAACACATAATTAAGTTGATTGTTGAGTTAGTAACCTAATTTTTTTTTTTTATTTCACTATTGAAAAATTGCATCTCAGCAGATTCTCGAGTAGACTTGGGTTTTAGTATGTTAAAACTGGCACAATAGACGCAAAAAGTACAAGTAAAGGGAGGAGGGGGACCACCACTGCACTCTATACAAAAATAGCACAGTAGAGAAAGAGAGAGCAGATGAACACTCTAGTTAGGCTGTAAGATTATTGTCAATTATTGGTCAGTGGAGAGAAGTGAGTGGCTAAGATTCAACAACATTACGCACTCGTGCGGTAAACGCTTAAATACAATACTCCAACATGGTAATGTACACAATATATATAATTTTTAGCTCATCTCTTTACAGCTCTCGGGTAAGTGGAAACATTTTAATACTAACAGACTCAACATAATACAAACGACCGCGCCATGCGACGCTCACAAGCCACGTTACATAAAAGAGGATACATACAACGCTTAAAAATAATAAAAAGTATTCACTAAATTTGGATATTTATGACTAAAATCGGCGTTAAATAGTATAGTAATCGTCTATACATATGACTGGTAAGCTTAGGTGAAATACAATTTATTAGACCTCTAATAAAGAAATAAAATAGCACACTGCATCGTATTCCAATGTACACAAACACCGCACGCGCACCTTACAAGTAAACTATCTATATATTTAATTATTATATTATTGTTCTTTATATACAACAGCGGCGCGTCGCGCCCCGACACAAGGCGATATATGTGCTCACTAATACTTATTTAAACGTAGTTTTCATATTTACAGAAAAGAGTAATTGGCAGTCGGTTATTCATTGCTCAGCACCTGCGTCTGCTAAGATTTAGTTAAGCGCTAACCTTTAACCTAACACAAGAACGCGATGTCGCTAGAAACACTCTAAAAATCTAAATCAACTCTAGGCCATAAAGCAATACCTATTATCAGTCCGCTACTAATAAACGTCAACGCACGCTACGTGGGTAAATTGTCTCTAAAGTAAAAGCTAATGATATGAATATTAATAATTTTGACTATCTAAAATATAACAGCTTCATCCAATGTGGAGCGGACGGGACGCGCGCGACGCCTAACTAATAATGCCTTTTGTCAGTGTGGGAGCCATCCATAAATTACGTCACACGAACTCCGCCCCTCCAAAGAGTGTCTAAATTATTACTCGACACCTAGACATTGTAATCTAGTTGTCTATTACTGATATTTACCACTTCTATTACCAGTGTTGTTTTCCCTTAAACGTGTGACGTATTTAACGAATGTCCCCTAAACTTTAATGCTCCTTCGCTACAATGCTAAACATATACATTATGTTCACTTGACGCGTTCGCGTTATTGCGTACATTTAGCTATTCCGAGTAATGCGAATGTAAGGAAATTAGTTAAAACAACTATAGGCGTATCTAAAATCGTACTTACAAGATTTAGAACAATGACGTTTGACAATCGGCTTCGCCGTCACAGCACACCCATGTGATTTTCGAACCAATTAAACGGTTTAATAGAAGTGAAAATGACCAGAACTAATATTCAAATTTCACAATAACGACGAAGCTGAAAATCAAATGAATTTCTAATACAAGCGTCTCAAGCTCACGTCATCCGCGCAATTAAATATATAAAAAACATTTCTAGACATTATCGTATATTTAAATAAAACATTACTTATGTATCACTCCGTCACGTCCCAATTTAGGAATTTATTAAACATAAATACAAAACATTGTCAAAACCGACCCGCATTACTCACATAATTCGATAATGCAGTGCAAAACCCGCCTTAAAATAGAATAGTAAGGGAATAACTGTTACTCCCTCTCACTCAAATCCTGATGACATTGCGCGAGAGAGACGAACATAGTTTTATCGCTCACTACACCGTTATTAAGACAGAATATGAATTAAAAACAGCCCCCTCCCCAACCGGACTACCGTATTGGCTAGACGAATACTGACAGACTCTTGGAAGACATTTAACAAAAAAGTATAATAAAATTTCTACACAATAGAAAAGACACACACGCCGAGTGCTATCGTAATAAATCCGTGCACAATTTCACCTTAAATATTAGAGAGAACGAGGTACTAGCTGAAGTCTTGTGACAGAAATATCTTCGGGAGGGCTGAAGCCTGTTTATGGTTTAAACTTGTTCTGCCTGATAGAAAACGCGTAGTATGAAGGATGTGTTGTAAAGAAAAACAGTGTTTTGAACCCATTTGTCATCTGACAACACGCAGTTGGCCAGCGGAATATATCTACTATGTGTACAAAAAGCATACCTTCATACTACTTGTTGATTGATTACAGCTACCGCTTAGCATCAGATAGGAACAGTTCTGAAATCGTGAGATGCTAATGCGCAGCCATATACAATTGTTTGCGCGAATGTGCGATAAAAATACCAAGTGTGCCATGTCCCTAACGAAGTGTTTAGATTAAATGGCGTACTGCGTTACCTAACCTTCGCTAACGCTAGTTACGTGTAATAATACCGTCGATAACCCTGTATGGTTGAATCTACGATTGTATGACGTGTGCTTATAGAATGGCAACGGTAAGAGAGAATTTCAATGAAATAATGACATTGGTTAAAGATGGCTGACCGCTCTCGGTCGAATTGCGTCTTATGAAAAGACATCGATGAAGATATTAACGGTTAAAATCTCCTCTAGGTCAACATTGCTCGGAAAAATGGATCTTATTACAAAGTGACTGATTAAACCAATGTTATCCTTATATAACATTCCTTTTAGTCAACGACATATCGATTAGAAATTGTAAGCGTTAATTTTAATAAATAACTTATGGAGCGAAATATGCTGTAAGCAAGGTTTCCTGGTTCTATTACTACAGAGGCAAGCTGTATATATCTAGGGGGTGTAACAACAGCGTCGGAGTTTAAAGCGACCCGGCTGGGAAGCTGGCTGAGGAGTTACTATGTGCAAGCGAGAGCATCGATCCGGAGAGCGATTGCTCTTCTTCGCCGTAGCCCTCCCGGCTGCCTTCCGCTATCGCCATAGCACTGTAAACCAATTCATTGAATTTAGAATAAGACGCTGGCACCAAGACTGCATGAGTATGGAGCCTGTTTACCTGAAGCCGAGCCTCGCGCTCTCATTGTCGAACTGCTCGAGTTCGCGCTCGTGCCTTTCGTGGAGCATTCGCGTTCGCTCGCCACGCTCAGCCAGAAACTGGGCGCATTCAGACTCCATCTACAAGTACAAATAATAAATAGTAAATATAAGTGATGTTCAGATGTAAACATTTGGTTTTATACGTGCACGTCTATCGAATTATGTACTGGTGCTGATAGACTTATCACATTAAATTTTAACGAGCGCTATTCTCATTGTAACAAAGTTATTTCCAAAAACTTTTACACCATTGCTTTTTTTTAAAGAGTATATGGTAACGAAAGTGACAACATGCACTTTGCAGTTATCGTGATTAATGATTGTGATTAAATGTCTTACTTTCTGTTCGAGCAACGCGCGACGAACAGCGACCCGATCCTCGAGTTCCCGCCGTTCGCGGTTCCTTTGAGCCTCCGCTTGCATCTTGCTCTTACTCTGGTACGCGGTCAGCATATCCAACTCGTGCTCCAGTTGCATTTTCAGCTGCTGGCACTCCATCTATAATACGGTTACTTACTATGAAATATTTCTTAATAACAAGTGTTTATCAAAATGCTTTACAAAGCCTAGATTATCTGTGAACCCTTAAGTAATGTAAGCAGAAAATTATAATCATAAAATGATACATAAGAAAAAACACCTAATTTAAACGGATTTTATAAAATGCGAAAGTTTGGGACGATACGGTGAATCTTTGTTTATCGTAATTTACTATTTTGTACCATTTGGCTCTCATCTAGGCGCACCGTCTGCTTTTGCAACATCTCACTAATACTCTGGTCGTACTGCTCTCCTAGCAGCACTAGCTTGCGTCGCTTCTCGTCCTTCAGCGATTTAATCACTTCCTTTTGTTGTTCTTTGGGCGTCGTTTGTAAAATTTGCGCCTTAAGAGCTTTGTACTGGCGCGTTTGGATCTTGCACGTCTCCCGAAATTGTTTTCGAATCTGCATCTCTTTTTGCTATAAACAAAGTAGATACGTAGTACATTAATTTCACTATTTGGTTAATGGAATTTAATAACAATTTCAAATTCAAAGCAAATAATCTAATAAACATACGTGCTACACGTATAAATAAAATGAATCAGTACATCAGATAAAGAAAAGGAGTTCGCAAATTGTAATTTACGAGGACCATTTGCCGTTGACTTTAATTAAAAAATAAAATTATTATTCTATTACAGTTTTATTTATATTAATAAAATAAAAATATAACTTTAAGGCTCTTCGGTTGCTGTTTGAGCTGCAACGCGTGCTTCTTGCGTAGCTCGTGTTCAGCGCGTTGCATGTAGTCGCGTTGATTGGCCAGTTCAGTCGCATGTTGATTGGACAGTTGCTCCTCTCTTTGAAAAAAATATTAAATCTTTATCAGTCTATTTAATGCACTTGTAGTCGCAAGAAATAACTCCGCTAACCAAGTATCAATTTCGGTCTTTGTATTCTTATGTGGGAAATAGACAACAATCTATTAACTGCTTTTGTATAAGAAAGATAATATTTAGATTCAAGTCAAAAATAATTCTATATAACTATAATTCTACACTTGTGAACGTTAATACAGTTTAAATTAGCATATATTAGCTAACATTTTTTTAAACAGATTTTCTTTGTATACAACATGACGAGATAAATACCTTAGCGCATGCACGCCTTTCTGTTGTCTATACTCGAGCTCCTGCGTCTTCTCGTGGTGACGTAAGAGCATCGCGTGCGCTTGCTCTAACTGTTGTTGCCGCTTATTTAGTTCCTGAAGAATAAATAGATTGTATTAATTCTAGTTTGGGAAAAAGAAAATGTTTTATTATAAATGATAGCGCAAAACAAGGTTACGTTAAAGTTTAGTCTTCTTCAGCAGCTTTAGCAGTTTAGGTTAGGGATTTACGATGTTTTAAATCTAAAACAAAAACTGATAAAACTAGATGAAAAAAATACGACACGGGCACGACTTAAACCAGCGTCCACAGCGTATCGTGTTCTTCCTAAATGTTTAATTTATATGCCATCATATGAAATAACATGTAAAAAAAAAAAAAGTTTTCAAGGGTCAAATTTACTCAATTCTACCACTTAAAGAATGTGTAAAAGACGTCTAATTATGGGACACATACAATATCGACCCTTACAAATAGAGACAAACGAACCTCTCTAAGCAGCTCTTGTTCCTTGTGATGTAATGCCAGCATGCGCCTGCGCTTAAATCGCCGCAGTTCTAACTCTAGGTACTCTCGCTGAGAACGCACCAGTCGAGCTTCCTCTGCAGCTTCAGCCTGCTTCATATTATCCTTTTGTGATCTGCAATAAGAGTATATTTGTAAAATAAAAACGTTAAAAACCTGGTGCCAGACATTATGTTATATTATAAGTATGTTATATTTGTGAATGTGAGGTGAATCCCTATTTAGTTATGATAAATTACATACATACATTATTCAAAAACTCCCAAGACCTAAGGACTTCTGGAGTATAAGTTAAACACATCTTTTCGTAGCAAAATGATTTGTCTGTTAAGTTTATTCATGCCGATGTTGAAAGAAATGAAGCTACCACTTATCCGCAGTTCACAAAAGCCAGTAAATAGCATTCCACAAAATGTGAAATACCAAGTTATTATCTTATTATATACAAAAATCAAGTAATCATGATAAAGTCGTTGGACATTAGTTAAAGAAATAAAGTAAATTATAGACAGTAGATTACTCACTGTAGCGTAGCGTCCCGCTGTCTCTTGGGCGTGGCGTCGTCCATGCTAAGCTCCTTTTTCCACCTCTCCTTGTTAGCCTTGTACTCCTTCTTGCGTTGCGCTTCGAAAGCCTTCTTGTCTTGCTCCTGTCGCGCTGTGATGTCTTTGATCAATTTCTTTTCGGCGGCCGCGTTTTGTTTCTGCTTACGTTCTAGTTCTTGAGCATGTTTTGTCTGGAGAAAAAAATATATTTGAAAACTTTATTATTTTTTACATATTATTGCATATGAAGGCACTATATAATTAAAAAATCGAAAATAAATTGAAATAATTTTCGACTCGGGCAGGACTTGAACCGGCATCGTCAATCATCGTTTTAAATTAAAAAAATACATTTTCAAAGTTTCTAACATTAATTATATATTTTTATATATTATCTTTCAGAGTAGTCTTAAAATTCATTAAGTATCTCTGAGAGGGTAAGAACATTCTTTCATTCATTCATCTTTTTATATATAGGTTGGCAGGCCACTAGAGCCCTGTACATGATACCAACTGTTACTTTAATACTTTATTAGACTCTATTTACATTGATTTCAAAGTAAGCAGACATTAGCTAATAACTTATCTACCATTACTGACCTGCAATCGTTCGAGATCTCTCGACAGCTGTTGCAGTAGAGCATCGTACTCGCGGTCGAGTTGAGCCTTGTGGGCATCTACGTCAGCCTTGCACCTCTCCTCGAGTTTGAGCAACGCTGCTTGATGTTCCCGACGCATGCGCTTGTAACCGGACATTTGTTCGTGCATCTCCTATAAAATATCATTCAATTAGATATATATAGTACAAGTTATATTAAATAAATAACTTGTAAAAATAAATATGTTATAGACTACAAAGTAATGTATGTATTTTTAAGATTAAATAAGAGACAATGTATACACAATTTATTAGATGATAGTTCAATTTTAAAATATTCACCTGGTTATGTTCCTTCTGTTGCTTAGTGACAATACTGGTAGTTCGAATTGTGGCAAAGTTGTTAGCGCCGTGTTCGGATATCAATGATATCGCCGCGGACACATTATTACTAACACCTGAAACAATATTTGTCTACATTATTCGCTTATCTCAAAAACGAAAAAATCGATTTTAGATTGAATTTTTTTACAACACGGACAAGACCTGTCATCCACAGCGTTCTGTAATGTTGCTCTAACTAATTCAGCCAACGTGTCCCTTTTATATAATGCCATCAATACCAACGTATTTAAGGTTTTCAAATATGTCAAAAATTTATATTTCGATTAAAAAATGATTTCTCATATCTGTATTAGTTTTTATATATAACTCAAAGCAAGCTTTCACCGCCTGCGCTTATAGTACCAGGTTTTTAATACTTCAAAAGATTACCTCGGTGCGTCTGCCTGCGCTGAGTGTTCCTATTGTCGTCGCCGCCGTCGTGCCACTGCGAAGGCGCATTCACGTACTCTCGATACTCGTTCGCCTGCCTCTCCCTCTCTCTCTCTCGCTCACGCTGCGCCTCGCGTATCGCCTCCCGGTTCGCGTAGTCGTCGCCATAGTCGTCGTCGCCCAGCGAGTCGCGGTTCGCGTAATCGCGCAACACCTCCCGGTTCACGTAGTCGTCGTGCGCCGGGCTATCGTCTCTGCGTAAACACCAACATGAATTATACCAGCGTTTGGGAGCTCTGCAAGCAAATACGGCCAACTAGTGCACGGGGTGCGGTGACAAAGCGTGTGATGATGTGCTCGTTTAGAATAAAAATGGGATTGATGAATAATGTTATAATGGAATCCTTTCTTTCATTCAAATTCTAAACTACATTTGCGTGACAGAGACGTAACCACGAATGGCTAGTCTTTATATAACTACAAGGTACACAATGATATGATAATATGTACCTTTTAATTAATACATTATAACAAGTCCTATGAAATATACTATACTAGAAGGTTAAAAAATGTACTGTTATGTTTATAAAGAATATAATGAAAAGAGACAACAATACAAAAAGTGATGAAATACCTTGTCTGATGACATGATTGATGATTATACTGCGGGTACACTGGTTGCTGTTGATTCTGATGATTGGCGTTGATCTGGAAACAGTGAACTAATTTTGTGATACTGTACTAAATGATCATGCTTTATCAAATAAGACCTGGTGTTATTTTAAATAATTCATAGTTACAGATGCTGAGTGTCTTATTTAGTATCAAAATGAAAAAAAGTTTATTTTTTTATTGGGAACACTGATAGAAGTCTGGGTGATCAGTCCACGCCATTTGCTAACCACTTCACCCAATTCCCCATTCCCTCATTAAGGAGGTCACTGAGGAAAGTGAGAATAGATCGGATACTTACAGCATGCGGCCGCCTCCTGAGACTTCCAGATGATGAACTCTGACTAGATGCTCCGGCAGCGCTATGTTCAGATGTCGCAGAGTTTGACTTCGAACTATCTCCTCCTGAAGGCTCCTCAGGTGTCTCTTCGCTGTCGCCTGCCAAAGGCAATTAAAAGTGAAGAAGAACAACAGCACCTATACACTACTGACACCGGCGCGATTGGATCCCATTGCCCACAACCATGCGAGGAATCAAAGCAAAAGCCATAATATTTTTAACATATTTATACTAATATTATAAAGCTGAAGAGTTTATTTGTTTCAACATTCTAAGCTCAACAACTACTAGTTCGAATCGAAAAATTAGTTTTGTGTTGGTTGGAGCATTTATCGAGAAACGCTATGAAATTAAATGAAAGGGAAATGATTTATCTTTGAGGGCCCAAACTACTCAAAAATATGTATGAAAGAATGATTCCTCTTTAAAACGATCTAAAAGAATGTCCGCGACAGTATATGTCTATATTTTAAGAAAAACTAACAAGAACCGTTTTTATGGTAATAAAATTATGGCAAAAAAAAAATACTTCAGATATGATTTGATAAAAGTATTACTTACCAATTGCACTTTCATTGTCACCGTCGACCATTAATATCTTTTTCATCTTTCGATAGTTTAGATTATCGAGGTCCCTGACGGCGGCTTTCGTTCTTTGTATAAGGTCGACGAGAACATTTGGCGAGCGAGGCCGCGTTATGTACGGGTGGGAGAGGAGGCGAGTGGAGGAGGGCCGGTCTTGTGCGTTCTTCTGCAGACACGCCTCGACGAAGTATCGAAAAGTGTCCGTCCACTCCGGAGCCTATATAAGAAAAAAAAAAGGCTTAACGCTCCGAAAAGCAGTTGTCAATTAATTGTTAAAGCATTTGTCATTACAACATGACATTAGTAGTATTTGACGATACACATACTGCATCAATTAGATTGTACTATTGTAGACTTCACTCAAGATAATGAATTTACCTTTTATCGGTTAAAATATAAACATATGGTAAGTTTGTAGTTTCAAAAACATTACTAATAGTAAATCATTAGGTTTATTTTAAAACACTTAATATAAAACAAAACATGTATTTTTCTTACCTGAAGAGTTGGGGAGTCGTTCTGTGCAATGTGGTAGAGCGCTGACATCGCATTCATATTGAAGTAAGGTGGTTTCCTCTCTGCTAATTCGATACACGTTATACCCAGAGACCACACGTCCACCTTAAAATAACAAGACTTTATTATTAAAACTGTTTCTGTTGTTCTGTTTCTTGTTCTAGTCTTTATTGGTTATTACTTTTTAAAACGCCAAATGTATTAGTAAAACTTATTAAAAAATTATTTTAACTACGGCCAGGCGTTTCAGATGCTTTGCAGCAGTTTAAACCGTTAAAGGTATGAGTATTATCTATTTTTACTTCAAAGTAGATTAGTCTCAACTTACTTTGCCATCATACTGCCCCTCATCCATAGCCAAGATAACTTCAGGCGCCATCCAATAAGGCGTGCCAACGAAACTATTAGCTGGGCACTTAATGCTGGCGCTGCCGAAGTCAGCGAGCTTCACCGTGCCATTTTCGGTGAGAAGTATGTTTCCCGCCTTGATGTCCCGGTGTATTCTACCCAAGCTGTGCAGGTACGACAGACCGCAGACCACACCCTCGCATATGGCAGCTATTTCTTCTTCGCGCAACGGCCGCTTGTGTACCTAAGTAAAAAGGAACATGAATTGTTTTAATTGTTATTATTAGCTGGAAAAACTAAAACCACTTCCACTAGATTTTTATGAGAAATGTTTGTAGCAAATATGATTTATTTAACTCTCCATTGCAAAACACACAAAGTACACACAAATGTTACCATAAGTCTTAAATATAGGGCAAGAATATTATTACTAGTTGTGAAGTGCAATGGGCGGCCTTATCACTATGGACCGATCTCTTCCATGCAAGCCGGGTTACAAAATAAAACAAGATACATATCATGGAAATGTACAGCTAAAATAATAATAATAAGTTATATTGCAAATACTTTTTAAAAAGACGTAATTATTTTAAGAAACATCTCCTAGATTTTGAATAATATGTTTCGTGGTAGTGGATACAGTAATAAAACAAATAATTTGGGCCATAAGAGAATAAATTGGAAAATTATTATTGCTTTAAAGCCTCCTATGCTAAAATACTTCGAAGCTCTAGAAGTTTCGAAACCATTTGTTAATGCAGGCTTTGCCGAAGTAATACAGACCTTCCAAAAACAGGCAGCTTTAGGTTTTTCTTTTATGCAGCATTAAATAAATTATTTTTGAAGCATGTTACATTTTGTATAAAAAAATCTGGACGTTTAATAGGTGGTCGGAAAATTCGGTATCAATACGTGGATTTCCGAATATCCAAAGCCAAATTAGTTCAACAGCGAATCTTGTTTAGATGTCATATGACTGGGGTATTTCAGGTTCTTTCAAGTTAACTCCATATTTATCTGTTCTCCTCATATGTATATAAAAAATCTATTGAATAAAATTCTTCAGATAATCAACTACTTAACGTCAAAAATAAATAATACTACCGCAGCAATATTAGATCTAATGAAAAACACAAACTTTATCAATCGAAAGTACGACGACAAGAAAGTTATTATCGATAACTAAACGCGATATTACAATCTGGACAGGAATTGGTTGCGTCACTCTCAAAATATTTGTTAGGCCGTTGTAAGGTTGTGACAAGATGACTGAAAATAATATAAGTATAGAAGGCGTGTTAATTCGCGTATTTATCGCTTTAGAAACATTAGCCGGCGTCAAACTAAGAGTAAACTTCGGACTAGCTAAATATGAATTTAAACTTCGTCCTTAATTATAAATATTAATAATAATTAAAAACTAAGTTCTTGTATGTCTTCCCACGTATATTTGTATGTTGCCATTACGAAAATAAATTATACCTTTTAGAAAATAAACATATTAAAATTTAAAACTATAGCTTAAAGAATACACTGTTCTATTTCACACTGAGAAAATTGTGACTAAATATATTGCCTTGTTAAATGTGTGGTTTCTGTGCTTTGAGAAATATTAGTTTTCCATTGGTATTCAAATATGCATAAATCTTTTACATAGAGTGACAGTTAGTTGCGCATTGTGATCTAAACTAAATTAATAATTATATTAATGGAGTGATTAAACACACCTATAAAATAAACGATCCCAAAATTGTAAGTACCTAATAAATTATGCAATAATCACACGTCATATTTCTAGACTCCATGAACCTGGGTAGATTCTAAGGAAACAAAACTAGACCAGGAATCACTCATAAAATACTGTAAAGAATTACGTACAACAAATATTTTAACGTTAAAACTTCTGCAATACAAGATGATTATGACTATTTACTAACTTCATTGTATTAAATGTTTATCAAGTGTAAATAGGAACATATAAAATTCCAATTAGAAAATGTTAAAAAAATAAGAACACTTTCTTAATGCCATTGCCTTCGAAGCGTATACAATAACAAAATCACGCGGATGCACTTTTTCATAGAAATCAATAAAAGCTACAAGAAGCAACAATTGTTAGATTTTCCCATCAGCCTTCTAGATGTAGTTATTTTAATTATTCTCTTTTGCATACACTTAAGAATGACAAGTTGATTGAAGCCTTTAATATAACTATAATGCTATATGTGTCCAAATTAAACAGTTCTTTACAATTGTCGTTAACAAAGCATCTTAGTTAAATTTGTAAATAAAATTATCATTAAAAAAAAGTATTTATCAGATGACTAGACTTTGGATGTGCTCTTTTTAATTCAGTATAGTTCCTGAATCAAATATGTCACAAGAGTTAAATTTGATGCAACATCAAATGCTAATTTTAGGCTATAACAACAACATTAATGTTATACTTTATCTCAGAGATGGGGAAATTTGATTTGATCACTCTTCTAAAGAAGTTGAAATATATAACATTATTGTGGTGGATCATCAGTATTACTTAAAAGGGTAATTGTAAGTCCAACTAACCTCTATGATATCTGAAGCAGAACCCACACAATACTCCATCACCAGCCATGCTGTGTGCTCCCGTTTATAACACCCCTTGTACTCTATGGTGTTTGGATGGTCCAGTTGTTTCAGAAACCTGCATAAACAACATACATTAATAAAATACTTTAATGAATGAAATTTACCCCTTGTGAAAACGTCTGCTTCAGATAATTTTGCTCTGTGATAAGAATAAATTGACTTTGACTATTCTAAAATATTTCACCCTGTTTAAAATTCTATTCTCTAATCTATATTAGTGGTCACTGTGGTTCCACTGTCTCAATGTTCCATGGAACAGGTACCTATGACTCCAGTCAATGCTTGCTAACATGTTAAACAAATGTACCATAGTAGTGGGTGGACAATACAAGATACTACATATTCTTAGTCAAAATACCCATATTCAATAATTATTCTATTCAATAACACTCACTTTATCTCTTTCAGGATGTCCTGCCACTTCTCCTCGCTTTGTTTACCTAAATATGACATCTTTTTAATAGCAACAATCTCCTTTGTGAGATTGCAGCGTGCATAGTACACCGCACCAAAAGAGCCATGTCCAATTTCTCTAAGGTCTTCAAAAATCTTCTCGGGGTCATGTCTACTAAACAACTCGGCTATGTCGGGGTCTTTCAGACTGCCCGGCCGAGGCATGATTATCTGCAAATTTTGCTGGTCTTTTTATTCAATACACATAGAAGCTGAATTAGTACCACTGTGTCTCCTGTGTATTTTAAATAGATCATAAATCTAAACATACTTGATGTATACCTACTATTAAATCTTGAAACATTAATTTTTTATCATTGTTTTTGCTATAACAACTTCATAATTATATAAAAAATCATTCAGCATGTTTCAAATGAGATTAAGGGACTTTAATTAATGTTTGAGTGAAATAAATAAAAAAAACATGGGACTAATGAGAAATGTCTTTTAAAAATAGTAATCTATTTTCAGAAGACTTGAAACTTGTAAAACTTAAGAAATTCAGTTTTAAGTAAGAAATGTATTTATAATAACTGTATTTTAATATAATCATATTTTAGCTTATCACATATAAAGATAAGTAAAAAATTTAAAACCCAAAATAACTGTGTATTCAAGAGTATATTATAACTCAAAATCTCTTAAGTATTGGACACTTAATTCTATTAGTTTGTTCACTTAATTCTATTATTTTGTTATGTATAAAAAAAAACTAGGCATTTTAATACAATTCATAAAATCTTACTTTATATTCTCTTTTTATTATTTTAAAAGCTTAATTTGTCATTTTGTAGTATCATTTCCAATTGTATAACTGATATACTGAAAAACTTGAATGTTGGACATTTTAAATGATTGTATTATTCCAGTTAGAACATAAATAGTGTATAAAAACTTACAGTTTGCGGCAGCTGTAAGCCGACAGCGTCCGTCAGTTAATTAGAACACTCTTTCTGCCTCGGGCCATCCTCCGAGACCGCTATCTGCAAGTCGGAAACGATACCGATAAAACACATCGCCATATTTTCCTTTAACGCACTAGGTCCAGCAATTTTTTTCTATTTCGCTACCGGTTCACTTATTCCAACGTTAATTATTAATTAGTCTTTCATAATCTAGTATACGATAAAACTAATCCAATTATTACTTCGATGATTTCACACTTCCAGCCCACCTCAAGACATAGGTTCCCGTTGACTTGTCACTGAAAGATCGTTGTAGGTTGTAGATCAATGTTTTCGTTTCTCATATGAATTGATGCTAGTACTTTTATCTATCACTATCTATACGGGAGGAAGTTGAATAAATTGCGAAATACCTACTTGGCACTTACAATATTAAAAATTCGCCTCAAAATGGCGTTGCCTACAGAACGCGATGATTGCTTTTTGTTTCAAAAGGCACACACATTGTATTCTATCATCACTATTTTCACTTTGCCGACTGTCACATAATCACTTTTTTATCGTTTGCAATAGAAATAACCCTGAATATTGTTGGTAATTTTACAGTAATGTATTTACAAGTCTTTCTGTAGGTACTGAAAAAATATAATGCAATTTCCAATGACTTTTCTCGCCAGCCTATTAATTTTATTCTATACTAGCGCCATCTAAACAGGTTCACATTATCATTCGGATATTTGTTATCTATGGTTGAATTAATGTTTATCTTCTGTATGTAGTATAAACTGTTTCAATGTGAAGTGTAAATTGTCTTTGTCTCTGCTAAAAGCTGAAGAGTGAAGTGTTAAATTTGGCGTCTCGACTTTACCGGTAGAAAATCAAAAGATATAAATTATATTACTGATTACTGAAGGTTTGTGTTGTTGCATAAGTTTACTCATTTTAATCCAAATTTAACGATCTTGATTGCATAGCATCTTTGTTAGCTTTATGTTTTACGCTTATTATATTACTGATGCATTCAAAATGGCGGGTAAACTAGTAAAGAAAAACATTCCATGCTGTACCATATATCAAAATATGCTGTAACTATTATTAGTTAAATAATTAATGCTTGAACTAGTTTTATAATAGATAATGTCACTTTATTACTTTTATTTACATGCTATTATTTCTCTTGTCGCTATATTTGTTTATATTATTAATTATAATATAAACTACTGTTAATTAGGTGTTTTATTTGTTGGTATGTATAAACATGTATGTGTCTGCGAAAGTATTTTCTGCAATATAGCGTACTCAAATTTTATTTATTATATCGGCGCTACAACGCTGAATTGGTAATTGCTATATGATTTGCCGGACGTCACATCCAAGTAAACTGTTGTAGATTCAGCGTGTTTATGTTATTTTTTACAAGATTTTCGGGAAGAAATATGCATGGTGTATAATACCACAATGTATAAATACTTCCATGAAAACTGTTTGTTTCTGTTGCAATGAATCGTAAGAGACATAAGTGGTTACAGGTTGAAGGGACCCAAACACGGTCATCTCATACAATTTTTATGTGTAACGATCACTTCGATGTAAGTATGCTTGTAATATTTGATTTCAATTGATTGCAATAGATTTTTTTTGGCCCCCCCTTTTTGTTTTCCGTTTTTTTTGGCCAAAAAAAAAGCTAAGGGAATTTTAGTTGTAATTTCTTACCAATTGTCTTCCTGATGTTTTTTTTTTCAAATTCCTAACCTCTGTTAATTGTAGTAGGGTATATCTGCTATGGTGGTAATCTGGTACTTTTGCAACCCATAATTACAGTAAGTGATGAACCATCTGGTGTGTGGCAAATCTTGACTTTGTGTGCGTTTAAAGCAATAATACAACCATTTCTGTCTACTTGAGGCAAGTCATTCCAGATAAAGTTCGTAGCAGTCTATTGATGTGTATGGGGGTTTGAATTAATATTGCCTTATTCAAAAGGGTAAAGTCAAGCTTCTTTCGAACCCACAATTATCAATAGTGTCATCACTGTACCAACATTACCAACTCTTTGGAACATTGGTAAAAAACTGGGATGAGAAGAATAATAACCAAAGCATAAATATTTTATTAAGCCTGGACAAAAATGTATGTAAAATAAATAGATTATAACAGATAAAGAATTATTTACACAAGAGTGGTTCTTTTTTTTAGTTTTTCTTATAATTAAGTTAAACCTAAGGTCTTTCTTTTTTTATCTGATTTTATCGTCGACATGTGAAAGAAATATTGTCCATTTAAATTAGTCTTAGTGGGGAGATTAAGCAATTCATGTAAAAAACCACATAACCACATGGACTTAAGATAAATCGACTTGCGTGTGACGTCAGGCGGTGCATAGCTAATCACAGCATCGTTAAGGCTTAAGAAATTTAAGTTATTTGAATTTATTGTGCAAAGTCGGTGAATATATTTTTGGATAAGAAAGAGATAATATGGAGATTGTGTTTTTTAATGACATTACCTAATGTGATAACCACATTTTGTGCTATATTTTAAACAGCACATTTGTTTAATTTTAATCTATACTTATAGGAACTAACTTATATTTATTAGCCTTTATGTAGTGCATTGTCATGTATTGCTTTTCTTACTTGTGTACAGTGCTTAGGATTATGTGTTTTCGTATTGTAATATAAGTCAATGTTTATGTACGACGTTTCAGATGGCTGACAGGAAAAAAGATGCAGAACCTGAGGGTGAAGAAGAATTCTCAGTAGAAAAAGTTTTAGATAGACGGGTTACAAATGGGAAGGTAGTCTTCATTTACAATTCTAAAATGTTATCTTAAAGTATTGTTTATTTTAAATATTTATTTATGTACTATGTATTAATCAATTACTTTCTCTTTTTTTAGGTGGAATATTTTCTTAAATGGAAGGGTTATAGTGATGAAGATAACACATGGGAACCAGAGGAAAATCTGGATTGCCCAGACTTGATACAGGCTTTTGAAGAAGCTAGAAAGAAAAAAGAAGCAGGTTTGTATTAAAAAAAATGCTTCAAGCAAATAATGTCACATCCATGTAGTAGGATTTACACCACATACAATGATAATTATTGTATTAATTGTGACCATAGACTGTAATTTTAAATGTTCCATATCCATAAAAATTTTTTGTTTGTAAAGTTTAAAGTGGCTTTGGGTTTTGGGATAAATAAATACAATTGATAGTAGGCAAAATTATAAATAAATACGTTAGGTCGTTTGCTTTGATTGTACTTACAACATTAGCATGCAGTCAATAATTTGTAATATATGACTTAAAATTATTCAGAATTGAAAACATTTTCAGAAGGCAAGGGTGCCATGAAAATTGACACAAAAAAAAGAAAATCTGCTGCCACACCAGATTTAAAAGGAGCCAAAAAGAGCAAAACTGACGACAAAAAAGCCTCCGGCTTTGACAGAGGTCTTGAACCTGAGAAGATTATAGGTAGGTATTACTTATTTAAAATTTGTGTTTTGACCTAAGCACTTCTATTCACTGCACTTCTTCTATGCACTATCTATTGTTCTTTCTAACTGCTTGCGCTATTATATTTAACTAGTCTCTTATCTGACCACATAAATAAATGTATCAATAAATGCTCACGCGTTGCCATCAGCGCCTCTATGAAATCAGGCACAGAAGTTTGATTTACTACAAGGAATCGAACCGTCATCGTCAGTGTTCTGTGCTGTAGTACTAAACAAGCTATCATGTCCTTCCGTTATTGTCGAATTTCTTCCACCCATTGTTACATGCACCTTTCGCTCATTGTAATTTCAACCTTAAAACTTTCATATTTTTATCTACATCATTCAAAATTTATAGACTTAAATATTTTTTCGTGTTCTTTGCACATGAGTGTATGTGCAAATAACACGAAAAAAAAATTTAAGTTTTCATGTTTGTAGCTCCAATGTTTTTGTAATATATTTTATTTATTATATTTAGGAGCTACTGACAGCAGTGGTGAGCTCATGTTCCTGATGAAGTGGCAGGGTACCGATGAAGCTGATTTGGTACCTGCCAAGCAGGCTAATGTAAAATGCCCACAAGTTGTTATACAGTTCTATGAAGAGAGGCTGACTTGGCATACCCCTGCACCTGATGAATGCAATAATGATGAATAGGTATTTTCACTTATTACCAGGGATAATAACTTGACATGGTTTGGTATAATTGTATCGGGTTGATTTGCTTCAAGTGGGTACAAAATGTTATAACTATTCGTACTTCTCTTGCTGCTGTAGCACAAAAATAAAATAAAAAAAGAACGCCAACACAAGTTAATATGAAACCGATTTGCCATGTTAAAGTAAGAACAACTTTTCAACCTTTTTCTTTGTAGTCGGTTGTAGGGAAGAGAGCTATTTAGTGATTAACTTGATTTAGTAAACTAAGGATTCCTTTAAATGTTTTTAGAAGGTAATTTCTTGTGGAAAAAGCTAATTAGAAATATTGTTTCAGTTCTCACTTCAGCGTGAAATCGGAATACTTGTTTTAATGTAAGAATATATAATAAGTGATCTATTATATATTAGATTTTAATTACACATAAGCGATAATTAAGTTTTTCTGTGCTATCGCACTTCTAAATGGACATTAAGGAATTTCCTGTAAGGACAGATAAGTACAGTGGAAAGTATTGTTTCCATTAAAACTTTTTTATTAAACAATTATGCAAATAGCATTGATATCGTAAAACAATAACACTTGTCAGACTAAGTTATATTTACATGGTTTTACTGTAACTTTGCTCTATAAATATAGTTCTATAATGAGACTAGAATTAATTGTAAGAAATAAATAGAAATAATAAATATGGACTTTTATTTAAAACTTATAAATAATCAAATAACAATCGCCTTTATGATTATAGACTATTTTATTTGTTCTCGATGCAACATTGATAGTAGTGCACCTGTACTTCAGGTGATAGGTGTCTACCAATAACTGAGAGGATTTTTTTTACTTTCTCGACTTCATCTGAGTTTTCAGAGTACCATCGCATTAGTAAATGAAGTACTACTAGGTTTACCTGCATCGATTGATCCTCTTGGGGTACCAAATTTGTAAGAACTTCTAGAATATTATTTCTAGAAAAGAAAGTCCTTAGGCATGTATCTAATGCCTTGGCAAATAGAACATATACATTCGAAAAGTAGGTTTTGGTGTGCTCTATTAATAATTCTTGGCATTTATTACTAAATGCAGGAATGACTTTTGAACAACTTATATCCCAGTCATGTCCGTCCCGTTTACAGGAATTAAATTTTGATATAAATGTTACTGCAAGCTGCCATGTTGTGATTATCAAATAACTGCTTGAAATTTCAAGAGATTTCAGCAATTCCTTTTCAATCGTGTTAAATAATTCAATAGGGGAGTCTTTATTCTGTGACACGTAGAGGGTTTTGGTATCATTCATTAAACAGTTCAGGAAGTTGTTTAGTTTTACCCTGAAAAGGTAGTTCTTTGATTCATCTACATCATTCCAGTGCTTGAAACATTTTTGTAGCAGAGGTAAAAGTATTTTTTCATATTTATTTACTTGTGCTTCTTTTGTGTCTGAATTAAGGATAAAATATGACAAGAGTTCCATTTTGTGTTGGTGTTCTTTATTGGTGCTACTGAATTCGTTCGCCAGGTAGTCTAGAACAATATTTTCTACAAAAACTGGGCATAAATGCTCCATTATTTCTCTGGCGTAGCTAATAAATTGCTCAAAAGAATAATTATATCTTTCGAATTCAGGGCTAGACGCAATTAAACCTTTAAGGAAAGGGTAAGCTTTCATAAAATATTTACCCCTTATAGAAACCGGCAGTTGTCTAACTTCAAAAAGTAGGTCATATATTGCGACGTTGTCTTTGTAAGTTAAATCATCCAAAAAGGTTTCCATGATTGGCCAGAAGCTCTGTATTTTCTTAGGATCCTTCTCCTTACATAAAAGTTTATAAGTTAGTTTAAATGATACATATCTAATTGTAGGGTTTTTGTTAGATTTTATAACATCCCCCAGTAAATTTTTGATTTGCTCTGGGTGTAGTTTCATGAAAGCCAAGCGAATAGCATGCTTTTGAATGGAAACTTTAGTATCCATTAACATCGGTATACACTGCTGCGATCGGGATACATTTAAGTTGTAAAAGATGGAATATAATGACGGTAGAGCATATAGTAAATAATCACCTCTTGCATATTTGATTATAATCTCGGGATCAGGTTGCGGCCGCGCAAGGTGCATGTATTTCGACAAGTATTGCTGTACGTTTAAAAAAACATCGTGGATACTGTCCCAATTTATTGTCTCGTTCTCAGGAGTATATTTTATTAACATTCCTTTAAAATCGTCAGCTGGCAATAGCGTGCAAAGAGCACGAATAATAGTCTTATTGCAAACACCTTTCTTTAATTGATCATTGCACATTTGTATTAATTCCTGGCACAAGGATTCAGGCCAATACAATTTAACTTTACTAAAATAAGTCCGTAAATAAAATTTATCTTTCTTAAATAACTCTTTCTCTAGATTATTGGACTTTTCTAGCAATGCTGGATTATGTTTTAGTATATTAAGAAGAACCGGTTCGCTTGGACTCATTGTTAGGGAATCGTCAAACAGAACTTTTCGCCAAGATTTCTTCTTATTATATATTTCAGAAAAGCTGATGTTCCAAGAGTTTAGCTCGTTTGTTTTTACTAAATCTCGTATAGCGTTGATAACAGGTGGATAGTCACAAAGATTTTTATTCCAATCGCTCAATAGGTCTAAAGCATGTTCGAGCAATTTAATTTTTTCCATAAGCTCTTCTTTGGATGAAGATGAATGATGATTTAGCTTTTTCATAATTGTGTTGTACAAATAAATGAATACTTTATCCTTATCGCCTATTTTCAAAGTTGTCTCATACGATTTCAAAGAATTAAATATAAACCGATTGTGTATGGCATCTGATACCACTCTCATCTGAATAGTTTCAGTAATTATTATAGATTCAATGCACATTTGAACATAGCGTTCATCAGTGTTTGCACCATCAGCCGCGGTAATATAGTCATCCATAAAAGTTTTTCTAATAATATTATTAGTATCTTCATCAAATTCGTGTAACTTTTTGAATTTGAATAGGTTCTCTAAAAACAATTTCTTCATTTCGTGATTGGCTTTAGCGAAATTTTCGCAAAAATATTTTATTACAGTTATAAGATTTTCAGTATTGTGTGCAGCTGCAACAAGCAAGGTTTCAAAGATGGAGTTTATTTTCTTTGTTGGTGTTTGTTTATCTATATTTTTTTTAATTTCTGATAAAGCAAATTCAAATGGTGTAAAGCGATACCAGAAATGATAGTAAACATGCCTTTTGGTAGCAGCTATGTAATTAATCAAGTTACTATCTTTAAGTGGTTTTGGTAAACGCCTATTATCTTTTGACTGTTTTTTATGGATTATTACTTGCTTTACGGTTTCCAAGCTGTCAGCTTTAGGCATTGCTTTAAGAAATTGAGTAAGAGTTTCATATGTCAGACATCTTTGGTTATTATGAAGCAACAAAGATGATTCATTCTGCTCAAATAAGGCACACAGAAAGCTTTTCACACTTTGTTCCTTTTTTAAATATTTCAGGAATGTCGGAACATCAATTGCATTGCAGTACATAAGAAATTTATTTTTGATTCTTGAAAAGTCATGTTTCACAATGTACTCGGTTGATTTTTTGTTTATTTGCAGATTTAAAAACTCATTTTTCTCAACAATGTCAAGGTATCTTTGCAAATCATGCTTTATGAGAAACATCAATGCCTGCATTGCCTCACGTTTTAAGTAAAACTCATCACAGTTATCCATGTAAATTTCTAAAACTGTAATTGTTTTTTCACATAGTCTTTTAAGCAGAGTAATGTCAACATGTTCTATGTGTTTTTTAAAGTTAGACACTATAAAGCCTGTGGTGGTGTGAGGTAACCATTCTACAGCTTTTTTGGGATCAGTTTCATACAAATAGAATTGTTCAGCTCGTCGGGGATCCTTTAAGTTAAGTTTAATATACTTAATATGTTTGTGTACAGCCTTAGTAATCATTTCTGGGTATAAAACTTCATGAAGATATCTAGGATTTATAATATGTTCATAAGCAGACTCGGTTATCAACCATGGACACTGCTTTATTGCCCTTGAAACATATAACATATCATTACATCTCAATATACACAATATATAGTCTACATTTCGATTTTTACTTGCTAAATCGATCTTTACAAGGTTTTCAATATCACTGTTTGATGTATTAACATTTTTTAAGTCTATGTCTGGAGCAATGGATTCTGAGAAGTTATTTAGGCATTTATGTCTGGCACCAAGACTATCTCCTTTTAGCTCCAGTTTCATCTTTAAGTCTGAAATAAACAAAGAAAAAGATTATGTAAAAGAAAAAGGCTCAACTTTAAATACGTTTGATTTGAATGTAGGTAAACTAAAGTTGAGTCATTATAGAATCTATTTATAGTTAGTTAATTAGACTTAAGCCCTGCCCACCCGACGCTTTTTATTACGTTTTTCTTGGGTAGGCAATGCGTTTAACTTTGCCACTTAGCTAAGGATAATACAGGTAACTAGATGTATTTTTTCAAAAGTTTAATAAAGACTTTATATGGTTAAAATAAATAAATACATAAGACGAGCTGAAATATTAAGAATTATTTTAATTAGACATACCTATTTAGTAAGAAGCCACGAAATAATATTGGATTGGATTGTGAATTTCTTTTTCAATAGTGCATCTATTTTTTATTGATGATAAAAATATAATTATAGAAATGATTCACGTTTCTTGTATTTAAGTGTTTACTGTTTTTAAAATTGGAAACTGACAATTAGCATCGGTCAATTATTCTAATTGACCGATGTGACAGTTGACAGATAAATTATGCTCTTCTTCATTTAACAGATATCAATTAGTATACTTCGTATACTAATTTATTTAAATTAAAGAATATATGATTATTGGAGACTATACATATATAAAAAAACATTTTAACAAGCGTCCTCAGGTATCGTTGTTGTATAGAATATTTTTTTGGCTTAAATAAAATTTCCGAAATTAGGTACATAAAATCCTACAAAATATATTATATTACACAAAAATACTATTATAAATCTACTGAACGGATACTTAATGCTTATACATAAGTTTAATTAAGTGCATAACAAATGTGCTTTTCGCCAAAACTGACCACGTAGATAAGAGCTAAAAATGGAAAAAAAACTTAACTATTAGTTGCAACACACCGCGGTATATTGAATATGCTAATTTAAATATTTCAAGCTTGAATGGATCCATGGTTTTCTAATAGAAGTAGCTTAGAAACTTTATTTGGAGAATGGTATTGCTACTTGCGTCATATCAATATCACAAAGACTCAATGGGTGTGGTCTACTTAAAGGCCAAAATAGCCGCCATTTAAATTGCCTTGATTTTATAGATTACCTACGGGACAGGAAACTGAACACGGGGTGAAGTAATGATAAATTACAATCTTACATATGAGATAACCTAGGATTTATTAACCTTATAGAAAACTAATTATTTATGAAGCAATTAAAATTGAAAACTATTTTTGTGTTGATTGGACCTGAAACATACAACTACATTCCATCTCATTTCCGTTGCCTACACAGTAAGACCGGTGAGAGATCCGCAAAAACGTGTATAAAAGAATTATTGTTCTTTAAATATTCTATTATCTAATTAATCTTATTACTCACAAGAACAGTTTTTATCGTACCTTATCAAATTTCGTCGAAATATTTCATATGGCAAAAGAAAGTTTGCCTGGTCAGCTAGATTGTAAAAAAAAGTTTCATTATAATGTTCCGTTCAGACAAATACTATAGGCCTATAGCAGCAAGTATATCTGTAATAACGCAGTTATCGTCAGTGCGAGAAGGCGAACCACACCCATTCACCGCGTTCTTGTCCTAATATCTCCGAGATTCTGAAGCCGAAACGAGGTTACAATAAGGGTCTATTTAGTAATTTATTGTGGGGTAACACGCACTTGTACGCAATGTACCAGAATACCAATCAGAAGATATCAGTACATTTTCCGAGACAATAAATTTGTATGTAATTTGACAAATAACGTTTCGAGATTCCGTTTTAAGAGTTAGGATTGTTTATTTTATAACTGTTGTTCAGTTCTTAATTAATATCTATTGAAATGTGCAAACAATGTTTCACAGTTTCTTTACTCGGCATTGCATGTAACACTACACTCTCACCGTGACTTTGTCCACGTGGAATAGTTATTTTAAATCTTATTTTTGATAGCGTCCCGCCGTTCTTGCGAGTTAATCTTAAAAGAGAGACATATACTATCGCGAATATTTTTTTAAAATTATTTAAATATGAATCATTCTTTCATACATATTTTTTGGTTACTTGATCCATTTTAGCGGCGCACGCAGCAGAAGCTTTCTTTCGCTCCTATTAGTAGCAGCGTGAGGTTTTAAAGCCTACAGCCATTATCGACAAATGCTCTAACTAAAGAAAAATAATTTCTGAATTTAAAACAGTATGCAGTAATGCCGAGATTAGCGCGTTCAAACAAACAAACTCTTTAGCTTTATAATATTGATTTTATTTATAAATAGGAAAGAAGGTTGTACAGCTTAACCCATTTTCGCGGTTGATGGGCTATAACGATTAACGCCAATAAATTACTGATGATAATCAGGATCTTAACGTGTTTTCTAAGGCTCGGTGATTCATGTTATCTAAGCTTCTGCTTCCAAAATCGTACTTATTAGACTGGTTCTTTAAATAAATCCGAATATACAAAACATTTTAACCGGCTCAGGATTTGAACTTCGTATAGCCATTAGAAAACAGACACAGTTTTATGTATTGGCTAAAGTATTTATAACGAAACCTAAGGAACAGACCATTCTTTATTGCTTATTTAATTCAGGTACGCATGTTCATTGCTCAAGGGCTGGTTATAATAATTTATAACACCAAGTCTTGTTGAGCTTTGAAAGTTTCTCGAACTACATTGCACAATTTTTCTTATCAATGCTCTGGCTAATAATAACAACGCTTTGTTTTCGATTACGATGGTAATGTCGGAAGAAAAAGTCGAAAAATATTATTGAAAAAATCTGTCCCACCAGTTCCTTCGGTCCTAGTCCCTCAAATTTCCTAACTATTTGGTATCATACAATTTAATTTTAATAAAAGTTAAGTATGTTACTACAACACATATGATGTCGTTAAGCTCTCGCTCAAGATATGCCCGTTTTCTCTCGATCTTCACTGATGTTTTTTTTTTGGCGCACATCCAATAATCGAACCCTATTGTAGGAATCAGTTAATTACACAAAACCCTTAACATTTATGTTTTGTAAATATACGCAGTTGGTAGATACTAAATACTGTCTGTAGTTTACAAGAGTAGTACACATTTAAATAAGACCCCTTATCGGTTTAAAAAGCGATATATACCTATTAGTTGAATTTATATGAAAATTATTTTAGTTAAAATATTTTTTAAACGGGCCTAAGAAAAATATTTTTCAAATAAGTTTAACTAATATATATCGCGTTTTAAACCGTTAACGTGTTTTATTCATAGGTAGATAACATTTACAAAACCATTTTATGTTAATGATGAATAATGAAAGATGGACAGACAAATTCTAAAATACATAATTCAAGTAAAAAAATAATAATAATAATTTTATTAGTAGATACCCGTATTTAAGGATACACGTACTCATAAAATACATTTCTTTGTTTCCAAATAAGCTCGTTGTGTGCGACTGTACCCAATAAACGTTAAGAACAAGTGGGCGCGGTTGGTGTATATCACAGAATTATTTTCGATTTATACGTTTTATTAGTAACCAGAAACCACTTAGACTTAGTCTTAGTAAATTTTCTTGACGGTTGATTTTTTTTTATTAATATACATTACTAGTGGAAAACAGCTACATAAGTATTATACCAATGAAAACGTAACAATTTGCTTACTACTTAAAATTGTATAACTGTTTGGGCGTATAAGCTTAACTGATCTATGAAACCTAACTACCTTTCTCATTCATAATATTAGACTTGACGTTATATAAAATTGATTTATTACATTCCAGTTGCGAGAAAGTGGTATTTCTACAATAGCACTATGCAATTTTGTAGTGTTTTTTTTTGTATGAGTAGGACAAGCATGGTTTACTTGATGGAAGGTAAAATACACCAGACATCTGAACAAGATTCGCTATTGACCTGTTTTGTTTTTGTATAATCGGAAAACCATAAGTAATTTATCACACTTTTAATTTTCAAAAGCGTGCTTTAACGAGCGATTTCGATGCGCGTGCGACACTCTTGATGGTAACTTAAGCTTAATTAGTGCAAGCGCTTGTCAATTCAGGCAATTATGCACTGAAGCCTAACGCACGCGGTACAAACAAGGCTCAAGTATTACTTACCTGATCTTTAAATATAGCTATTTTAATGAACTGTTATTGATTCCCCATTTTGTTATATCTGAGATTGACTTCTACTATGGAGATTCTGTTATCTTCTCATCGAAGAGGACGCTATCTTTTTGCATTTAAATACTTTAATTGCTTACATAGAGATCAAACTCTCGACCACAAACGGATAATCCGGTATATCTATTAAGCTAACACGACTTATTAATAAGTCTATCTAATATAATAAAGTATGACTTCTGTCCGCCATATAATTTCATTATTTGATAACATTTTGTATTGCTTCATGATACAAACATACTGTTAAACATAATTAAAAAACGCTTTCTTTTTACGGCTATTGCTTCACGTGAACGTGTCTTATGTTCTTTGCATTATCTGTGCTCTGTCACCTTTTGGCGGGAAACGGTTATCTGTTTAAACAAGTTTTGTTTCCGATTCGTCAAGAAGCCAAATGATTAGGAAAGAGGTTTTATTATATAAAAAAAACAGCAAATCAAGGGCAGATCCACCGTTGTGGGTAAGATGGGCATGCATAGACTTGTGACGTCACATTTTTACGGTGTATTAAGATCGATAGGCTAATGGTAATAAACGATATGCCTTAATAACATTTAAAAAACACAATGAATCATGAAACCTGCGTGATTCGGAAGCAAAGAGCTATAGACGATATGCTGACATGTTATGACTTATGTCACATTTTTGACAACTTATTGCCGTGCCGCCAAAATTTCCGAGACGCGTAGCGAAGCATGTACCTACTTTTGCATACACTACATCTCACTTGCTGATCTCCCTTACATTACTCCTGATACAACGTCAAGATACCTATTTAGTTATCTTGACAATTACCTATTTACATGTAAGTTCTTGATTGTAATAGGTTTGGA